TGGGTGTGCTTAACACACCATTGAACTGTTACGCAACACGAACAAACACACACACACACAGAGCAGCACGCAAAAAGCTACACACACATGCATATGTCCGGCGGTGGCCCCGGCAGACAAAATCCCATTTGATGTTCACTCAGCAGAAAGGCAACGCCAATGAAGCATGCAAAAGGTATTTCAGTTTTTCGTTGCCGTTTCTCTGGCTCTCTGGCTTCAGATTGCTGAGATTTTGGCTTTGTAACTCAAAATCGGTCGACAGCGGACAACAACAACAACAAGAACAAGGAGCGAATGTGCAAACATCATGGAAAACGCAGAAACAGCAACAACATGGCCAACAACAAAAGGAAATCCCAAGAAACAAAGGACCGTCCCGCAAGCGAACGCAGATAAAGACGCTTACAAGCCGCAGCCAAGGAAAAGGAAAAAGTTTCTTACTTTCTTTTTTCCCCTCTGCTGTTTTCCGCATTTTATTGAACTTTAATTCATTTTGCAGTAGCCAGGCAAAATGTGCAGAATAAATTGTTTTATTTAAGTTGTACTTTGCGCAAATGTGGCCCCGGCTCGTTGGATCGCAGGATGCAGCCCCACCGACAGCTCCTGGCCCCAAATGCGTGGCAGCTGTGAGTGAATGTGTCTGGGGGTATGTATTGTCCATTGGGTCATAAAATGGCTTCCGGTTATACTTCAAGTGAGATTAACTTGTCGTTTACAATTTCCCTTTGATTTGTTTCCAACCGGAATGGTTGGACCATTGCTAGACGAGCAGCAACAGGCTGGGTAGAAGGTCCCACCACTGTATACAGTCGCGGGGCAGGGCTTTCGCTTTCATCTTGCGACACTCACTGGTGGTGGCTGCAACGCTCACTATTGCCCTGCACTTGCGGCAAGGCATATTGGTTGTCAAGAGGAAATTGCTAGTTATATGCGGGATTACTGTGAGATTGGAGCCCTATTCGAATGGGATAAAGTTCAGGGATTATTTATTACATGGCGAAGACTTGGGCTACATTTTATCTGTAAAGATGCAACATTTTCTGTGTGACTTGTGGTCGAGTTTTTGTATATTTCTTGGCAGCCCCACAATCATACATATCAGCCACAACCGGCTGCAAGTTATTTAAAACCTCAAAACAGGAATGTAATAAATTTTGCAACTTGCAATCCTTTTACGATTCAATTAGTGCTTGAAATCCAAAACCTGAGTGTGCAAATATTTAAAGAAAATACATCACATTTTCATGTTTGAATGAATTAAACACATGGAACTTATTTAATACACTAAATTGATTGATCGACGAATGCAATTAGCAAAATATTCATTCGCAAAATGTAAATACTCGTCTGATTTGATTTGGTTTTAGTTCAACAAACGTCAAAATTTGCGCTTTTAACTCCTCTAAAAAATGCAAAACAATGCTTAACCATTGTGGCAGTATTTTCTTTTGTTTCAATTTTGTTTTTGTTTCAATTTTGTTTCTATATTTGGCGAACAAATCGTAGGCCATCAGTGGGGTTTGTGTGCCGCTTGCCTCTGTGTTTTCCACCATTTAGATTGAAAAATGCCCATGTAATTGGTGTTTTGTTGTTGCTGTGGCTCGTTGCTGGTACAAATTGATTTACAACAATTCATTTTCGCCTGGGGCAACCGCTGTGAGACCCAAACCAGCTGACCAGAACACTTGGGGGGCGGTCCGGGACTCTGCGAGAAGTCTCAGGTGTGAGTCTTATTTGTTTTCAAATTGTTTTCCCTGCTTTTGTTCTGGTTTCTTTTTTTTTTCTCGGGGTTTTTCCTGGGAAGCCACACTAAGTGTGAGCTTCTGGCCTGGCCTGGCAGTAATTTCATTAGATGCTGGCTCCCTGCCTCCATAGAAGTGCACTCAGCTTTCACTTTCGCGCTGGCACACCTTTTGGGTAAACACAAAACCAAATCTGGCCCAGTTCGCGGACTGCTGTGCAATTAAGCCACGCAATCAGAATGCAAGATGAAGGCTCTGCAAACAATTGAATTCTGGTCGGGCGAGGCACCTGACAGCGCAGGGACGCGTTCGGGACGGGCGTCCTGGTCCTGGTCCTGCTCCTGCTCCTGGTCCTGGTTCGGGCCCCAAATGTTGGCCCCAAAATGGCGGCCGCAAGCTGCAAAGTCAACATGGCAGCTGACATCTGTCAGATGCTGTTATTTCGCTGCACTTTTAGTTGCCTTTCGGCTCCAGTTAGGCATCTGTGCCGTGTCCTCTTCTGTCCCTCCACTGGGTCCCCCCACACCACAACTGGTTGGACCTTGTTGTGTGTTTGCTGAGCCCGGCCGAGCACTCACAATGGCTTACCACGGGCCAAATTGCAGCCACTAACGAGCCAGTGCCAGCTGGCGCCCTCGATCGTGGAGCTGCTGCTGCTGCATTTCGGGGCACTATTTAATGTGAATAAACCATGGAAAATGCTATACAGATCACAGGAAAGGGTAAGCTGTATAAACAGCTGTTTAATGTTAAGGAAATTCCACAGAAGTGACTTTGCGAATATATTTTACGTTGGGTGTGGAACGTGTGGATCACGTGGATCGTGAGAGCGAGCGTGCACAGCGCTGTCGGAGAGCGCTAACAGCACTGTAGACATGTGCGGCTGTTAACAGTGCTGCCGTCGCGCTGCTAAAACGAACAAAAGGAACTAATTCTAATGTCACGCTTAGATTTTTGCATATTTTGTTAACCATTTGAGTTCAGTTCTTGCCTGTGGCTCACCATGCATCGATTGCCAATGATATTAGGTGAGTAAAGATTTCATCCATTCATCCTGCTCTTTCCCAATACCTAACTAACATTAACAGTTCCTCTGCTGCTGTGGCAGTTCTCCGGCTCTCTGGCTGGCTTCTTCGATGGCTTACAGCGGCCCGTGGAAATAACGACTGTAAGCCAATACTTGCCGGGACCTGTGCGGCTGCAGCGAACTGCAGGACGAACGCGACGCACCATGTCAATCGATCAAGAGAATGCCACATTTAATGGCAAAATGGTGGACAACTATTGCTGCTTCTGGGTGTATCAGAAGCATCCAGAGATACCCACGAACTGGGAGCATCGCGCCGAGTATCCCTTCGACTTTGTGCTCAATGGAATTTTTGTGAAGAACGATAGGAACTACACCGGGCCCAAAGCTGTGAAAAAAAGATTGAATTGAACCCCGAAATAAATGTGAACCCATTCCTGTTTATTCATATCGATTGTGGTTATGCATTTAATTGGACGCTGGCCTGGGGCCCATGTACGGCTTAACTCAGTCACAAAATTATAATTAACTTTGTCTGGGCTCAAAGTTGCCTCAAGACTTGTGTGTTGGATTCATTCAGGAGTATATGTGCTCTTTTTTGTGCCTAAAAGCCTGACAGCACATAATGGATTTGACACATTATAATCAGGTTTGCATAGTGTCCTTCCTGCCTGCCTGCCTGCCTGCCTGCCTGCCGTCACTCCCAGAGCTCTCAGCTCCCACTCGACGTAGCCTGAAGCCCGAAGCGACGTTTTGGGGCCTTCTTGGGCACTGTTGACGTGCTTTTGCTTATTTGGTCAGCAAGTTGTTTGTTGTAGTTTGAAGTAGTAGAAGTTGTTCATTATCAGCAACAGCAGCCTCCGCCTCAGCATCAGCATCATCATCATTGAGCTGAGCACAAGACGTGGCCGGGCCAGGCTCATGTCTGGGCATTTACTTAGTTAATTAAATTCAACTTCTTCAGTTGAGGGACTTGTCTAGGGGCAGCATGGGAACGGGCAAGTTTAGTGCAGCCCGGCGAGGTCCTTGAGCAGGTGGCAAATTCTTGCTCCCTGATGTACGCCCTGCTACTGCCCTGCTTGCTGCTCCCTACTGCTGCTTTCCACTGCTTGCTATTGCTTCCCACTGCTTGCTGCTTTCTACTGCTTGCTGCTCCCGGAACTGCTGGCGAAAAGTTTTGGCCAGCGTGTTTGCTCATACCATAAGTAAATATCTGCTGCCAGCCTCGATGTTTGCTTTTAATTTTGCTTCCCTCTGCCTTTGCTTTTTAATGTGTCTGGATGATTAGTCGGAGCTGCATCTTGACCAGTTCTATTTGCATAATTCACATGGCCAGGCACCAGCAATGTCCTGCACTCTCCGACTGATGAACGGATTTATATTTGCCACAAGGTGACAATGCCAACAACACCAGCAGTGGCAGGGAGCTGTGTCTGCATTTTGGATTCTTTGGGGGTTTATCGCTTTTTGTGGCATGGCATGAGCTGTGGGCTGTAGGCTGTGGGCTGTGGCTGTGTGCAACTTATGCAAGCAAATAATTTCGATTTAAATCGATTTTAAATGGAAACGAGCGCATATGCTCGAGTGTTCAATGCATTTTGGGTTATATGAACATTTTCCCATCAGAATTTGCTTTGCTTTTGGGAGCCGCAAGAATGGAAAACCAAATGTTGTTTAACATCCAGTTTATGTATGTACAAATGTATGTAAATATGTATGTATTTATGTATGCATCTTAGCTGTCTGTCTCCGTTTTTGATGCTTGGTTCAAACAGCGGCACAATCTGCAAAGAACACAGCATAAGGTCTCTGAAGTTTAACCACAAGAAATAATCATCCTTGCAGCTGCTGTTGTAGTGGCAAGGGATTAAGCTTCTGTTGGATTTCTCCCTGTTGACACCTGAAAATGCAATCAGCTACTCAGGGGAATCAAAGTTATATAAATCATAGGAATGCTTAAGGTTATGTAAGTTTTGAAAGTTAAAGCAGTGTGGCGGCACGTGGCTTATGGCTACCAGAGTCAGGAATTTTGTTCACTGTTGTGCAAGAATTTGTGTACGGAAACTGCAAAATAAAAAGAGGCCATGCAAATATCTCATTCAAATTTGAAATTTAACGATCATTGTGCTGCCAGAGTGTCGCGTGTGAGGCTGCCACATCAGCCGTTTTACACAGGCCAGATCAGTATCGAACAGCTGTTTTCGCCGATACATCGATGGAGAACATCGATAAGTTCGCGCGCATTTTACAATTTTGGAACAAAACAACATTTAGTTCTGCTTTATAATTGTTAATAAATTAGTTAAACGCTTGTGTACCGCTTTTGGAAATGTCTGTGTTGCTGGCGGACATTGACGCCACCTGCGCGGCGCTTGGCTACAGCGATGGAGAGCTCTACCAAGCCGAGCCGGATGCCGCAGAGGGCCTGAAGGTAGCACAAAAAAAAAAAACAATTCAAATTGGTGTTTATGTTGATTAAACTCTATGTCTTAGCACTTGATTTGGATACTGAGACGCGATCTGGACAATCATGAGTATCGCCGCCATCTGGGACGCGCCAAAGTGCTGCAAACGGATTTGGTTTACATGCTGCCCGACCACGTCCATCACGAGGAGCTGTCGGACCTGTTGATTCGCCTGCTGGTCATTCTGACTAATCCGACGCTGCTGCTGTATCGCGACGGACCACCCAGCGACAATCACGGACGCAAGGTGTTCATGGAGTTGATCGACATACTGCAGGGCTACAAGGCGGCCTTTGCCAAGGACAAAATCTGGACGGCGCTGTTCGACAAGCTCAAGCAGGCGCTGGAAATTGTGAGTATTAGAAAAGTAAAGCAGAGCAAGCAGTTCAAAATGCCACAAGTAGCGGATCAGCGAGGGGGTAATGGAGGTACAGGAAGCAGTGGAAGCGGCGACGGCGATGATTCCACAGACGGCTACTACACGTGCTCCATGTGCATGGGTACCGCAGTCCGCCCCCGCGTTAGCTTCTGCGGACATCTCTTTTGCTCGGAGTGCATTGAAGCCTGGATGAAGGCGCGGGGACCCTTTGTTAGGTGTCCATTCTGCACGTCGCACATTGCCGATAAAACGCTCATCACGGTCCAAGCCTCTTCAAGCCGCAGCACACCCGACCGCAGGTGCAAATCACTGCAGGAGCATCGACAGGAACTGCTGCAAGATGCGGAGTACGTTGCGCGACCAGCAGAACTGCCGCAGGCTTCCATGTTTCTCAACGGACGAATCGAACTGCCATTGGACGCGTTGCCGCGCTGCAAGCCGCTGGCACAGTCGTTGCAGCGTCAAGTCAAGCCGCAGCGCCCGGTGCAGCGCGCATTCGTGGACTACAGCTGCCATCAGCGGGCCATGACGCTCTTCATTATGGTGTTTCTCTTTGCGTTGCTCAACTCCACGCAAGTCCTCAAATAGCAGCCCCGAAATTCTTTGAGATTCCCAAACAACTTCTTTGAATTAGATGTCCCAAGATTTCGTTAATTAGTCTTCGCACAAATGTGGCTCCTGTGGCATCATCGTAAGCCGCGGCAATTATCGTTTGGGCATTTTGCGAAACTATTTATGTAATCTCTATAATCTTAACATTAATGGCCAAGCGGGCACGCAAAACTTTTAATGGCCAGCTGCAAGGCAGTTTTTGTTTTCCTTTCCGTTTTGTTTTGGCTTTTTGATTGTGTTCCCGTCCGTCCGGTCTCCTTTGTCGACTGCTCCATAACTAGTTTGAACTTCATATCTGTGCATCTTCTTCGTTTTTTAGCTATTCTTCATTGAATATTGAATCCTTAAAGCGGGCATCTTCCTCTGTGGATTCTCCGGCAAAAGTTGAAGTTTAATTTGAAAATATTTTACTTAAAATGGAATCGGATCAGAGGAGAGGGTAGCGCTCTTTTCCCTTCAATTTCCGCAACAAGTCGATTTAATATTCTAATTCCACAAAAGTTAAAGCACCCACAACAATGTTTGCCCAGCTCTCTGAGTGGTGTGCTGGTGCTCCATTTGCTGGTGTGTAAATGCGGAAAAAAGCGATACGCAAATGGAAACATCGGAAAGGTGCGTAGTCGGAGATTGTAACATGCTCTTGTTGATTATTTTAGGAGTTGTTCTCGATTCTGGGGCTGTGAATAGCTGAAATTTGGCCGCTTTATCTACACTCAAAAGAGATTTCAATAGAGAATTATCTTTGCTTGTGTTTAGAGTCTAAACTTTTGACTATTTTATGCAGTAAAAAGCAGCACTTTAAGGGCAATATTTCTGGTCTTAACTCATTACTAAATTCAAAGGAAAATCTAGATACATTTTTAAGCAAACATTTTGGTATTTTGATATTCAATCTTCTATGTATAGGCCCAAAATCCGCTTCAAACATTCCTCTTACAAATGCCAAATAAAGAGATAATCTCTGTAGCTTGATTTGCCATAAAAATTAACTTTGAACATCGAATTGGGTCAAACTATTTGCTAGGATCTTGCAGCAAGGCGTAGCAGGGTTATCCTAGCAACGGAAACAATAAAAAACTTGAGCCTCAAAGATGGTAACAAAAATAATGCTAAGGAGCGGGGCGAAGCCGCCCAAACCTCGGTTTAGCGCAACGACACAAATAAATTCATTTAAAGCCGATTGAATCGACATTCATAACACTCCGGGGAGCAATTCCAAAGGATTTTCATGGGAGTCGCTGCGAGGATTTTGTTTGCATTTTCATCTGCTTTTTTTTTTTGTTGTGCTTTGCTGTAGGGAGCGAGGGAGCATTTTTTCTGCTTTTTTGTTTGCTGCTTTTGCTTTGCCTTTTGTTTAGGTTAAATACAGGCGAAATTTCTTTATATATGGAATGCTGCTGTCTATTTGTTGTCGTTGATAATGAATGTGTGCGCGGAGGATTTTCCCCCGCTGTTGCCTCGGGCTGCCACTGCCACTGCTCCTGCTCCTTCTCGTTCCTCTATGCTGCCTGACTTTTTATGCTTTACTTCGCGTCGCGCCGACTTACACGCTTTGATGTATGCGCGGCGAGGCAGCCAAGTGGACCGGCCAGAGCAGGCGGTTGAGGAGGAGCCAGAGCTTTCAATTTTGAATGAGCCACCTCCGTGGCTGTGCTTGTTGTTGCTGTTGCTGTTGCGTAGGGAAACCAAAAACGGAAGTCATTATTAACTTTGTGCTTTGGGATGTAGAAGCTTGGAGTCTTGCCTTTGCTTTGCTTGCCTGCTTGCTGCTTGCTGCTGCCTTGCCCCCTGGTCGGGCTGGGTGTCCGTGTTCGTGTTCATGTCCGTATCCGTATCCGGGTAGGAGACCCAGCTGGCTTGTAGGCACAAAAGCCGCATTAGTTGTATTTATTTTTAAGCTCACAGCAGCAACTGTAATGGCCGCATCACCCCACAGCAACCAACCAGCCCCCGCTGCCTGGCATTCCCTTATCGCCCGCCCACACCCAGCCTCAAATTGATTTCAACTTGACTTTGTTGTGGTCCTGCCCTGGAGTCCTCTCCGGGGGCTTTCCGGGGGCTTCCGTTTCACAGTCGAGCTACATAAATTTGCAATTTAATTTAATTTAATTTCATTTGATTATTTTAGCTTGACTCGCGGGATTTGGTGCTTAGATTTTTGCTTCTTTCTTCACACTGCGACTTAGTGCAACGTTTTATTGTCTTTGACTCTTAATGTCTTGCCGTTCCAGGGCTTTGCCATACGCAGCGAGGAGCAAAATTTACTGATTGAACGTATCCTCGTGCTGGTGCGGAATGTGCTGCAAGTGCCGGCCAACCCAGAGGCCGAATGCCGTGCGGACAATGATGCCAGTCTGCATGATCAGGTCATTTGGGCGCTGCATCAAACGGGCATGCTGGATCTGGTGCTGTTTGTCATCTCCTCGCCGGATGAGGAGCAGTTTCATCTGCACGGCCTGGAGATTGTTTGCTTGCTGTACAGGGAACAGGTTGGCTATCCTTCGGCTCAAAGTTCTTTCCATTTCTGTTAGCATTTTCGTTCTCCCTTTCAGACCGCTGAATCCCTGGCCGATGCTTCACTCCAGCGCAGTCTCAGCGAGAAGCAGCGGGATCAGCAGGAGCTGCTGGCCGCTAGACGTCGCGAGCGTGCACGCCGTCAGGCTCGTCCGCCCACCGGCAGACACTCGCGCTTCGGCGGCACCTACGTCATTCGCAACATGAAGTCCGTGTCCGATCGCGATGTCATTTGCCATCAGGCTCTGGAGCGTGTCTCTGCGATAGACTTTGATCGCGAGAAGCAGCAGCAGAAGCGCTCGCATCGGCACATCAAAGAGGAGGCGCAGGTGACGCGCCGGAGCGCATTTACAGTGAGGTAAGGCTGGGGGCACCCTCTTCCCCTCTTCTGGCCGCCATATCCTGCCGCCATTTGTCTGCGCGGGCCACTTCCTGCACTTTGGCGCTGTGTCTGCCTATTGTGTGGCTGTGGCCCGGCCATTAGCATTGGAATTGTTATGGCCACTGCCACATCCATGCCTTGCCCATGCCATTCAGCCTTATCCCAGCCATTGATTTTCGATTTTACGCCAGTCCAGAGCTGGAGCTGATGCTGGAGCCGGAGTAAACAAGCGTATCAAATAATATTCAATAATAAATGAAGCCATTTTCTTTTGGCCGCAGTCAGTCGCTGCCTGGCTCTTAGGTTGGCTGCTGGTTGCTGGGGGGATTCCCGGGCTAAAGAATATCTTGCCCGTTGGCGCCTTTGTCGCTCTGCCGCACCCCCTAATGGTGGTGCCACCAGGTGCAGCTATTTTATGCCGCTCCGCTAACCAACAAACTACTTAAAGGATATGCCCAGGTCAGGAAGCCAGATACTTTCCGGGGGGCAGCTTCAACTGCTACTGCAACAGCCAGATCTTCACGTTTTTCTGCTAATACCCTACCAAAATATTATGAAAATCGAAAAAAAATCGTAGGAAATGTTTGCCCTATTTTATAGCTAAAGAATTCTTCCAAATATTTGTTTATAGAACTTGCCAAGAGCATTCAAACTTCGTCTGCTGCTGGACACAGATTCTCTCAATTTGTGGCAAGCATAAAAACCTTTTGCAAAAGATAAAACTGCAGCAGCAGAAGGAGCGGCAACTTGGCGGCGCCATCGGCTTTCTGCATCGCCATCGGCCACCGGCATCGACTTTGGAATCTTTTTCTCTCTCCCTCTGCTGTGCCCAGCGAGCCATGCAATTTTCAAGTAAAATCCTCAAAAGGTTTTTTCCCATTTGGCTGCTACGATTTTCTTTTGCCCAGCCTCTGGCAAACATTTTTGCTTGTTAGTTTCTCCACTGACTTTTGCCCCGGGCCTCGGGTCAGGCACAGTCCTAGTCCCATGCCCAGTCTCTGCCTGTTTTATGGCCAAGATGCCAGCGGAGCAAATCTTTAGGCGCCCATAAATTGATAGAGCAGAACAAATGTGTCCGAGTCGTCGCCTGCTGGCTGTGATTAGACAACGCCAAATGTGCCAAACCAAACTGTGAATCTCGTTATGGGGCACGTATGCGGCCAAAAGTTCATCAATGTCGCGTGTTAGATCCCCGTGCAACAATTTGTTAGACCCACCACAAGTGCAACGGGCTGCAAGGAGGTTTTGCCTCCATTTTTTTTTGTTTTCCTCCTTGCGTTGGGGGTTTGGGTTTGGCATAAATTAATCCGCGTCGGCATCGATGCATTGGATTTGTGTTCTGCCTGCGGTTGGTCGGCTGGCAGAGATTGCTCGCTGCAGGGATGGATGGTTGGGTGGGGGATTGGGTGCGCCCTGGTTGGTTGCATCTTTTAGCCAGCTTTGCGCAAATAAATTGGCTAGGCGAAATTTATTGCATGAAACGTTACCAAATGCCGCTGCAGCCAGCGTTCCGCATTTGGTATATACTCGTAAACTGATAGAGGAAGAGGGCCGAGCTCGCTTTCAATCAATATTATTGTGGTATAACCATTTTTCATTGCAACCCATCCCATTCCCACTGACTTTCATTCAATTTTTTGTGATTTTTGTTGTTGTTTTTTGCAGATTGTGCCTGCGCGAGTACTGCATCGAGGTGCTGCGGTCCGCTTACAATACGCTGGTGAGGCAGGTGCGTCGTGTGCTGGAACGCAATGCCGGCTCGTCGAGTCACGATGACTCCTATCTATTGTGGGCCATACGATTTTTCATGGAGTTCAATCGTTTGAGTGGTCTACAATTGCAGTTAGTCAGGTGAGTCAGTGTTTGTCTGTGTGTGTGTGTGTGTAGCTGTGGCTGTGACTTACATTTGACAATGTCAATGCAGGTCTAAAGCGGGGGTGGGCACACAGACACTCGCATGTTTTAGTGCTTTTGTATGCACAGACAACAGAAACGTTTCTTGCTTCTCTGCCGCTGCGCTGCTGCAGCCGAGCAACCGAGCTGTGCATAGGCAGCAGCAAGGTGAATTTACTTATTGGGTGACGTTTTTCGCTGTCCAAGCATTTATTCACCACGCACGCTCGGCGTTCGCTAGAAAGAGATAGAAGTCTCTGTGGTTCGGCGGGGAAAACGACACCTCAAGTAAATTCACCTTGGCTGCAGCTGTTCGCTGTGCATAGGCAAAAGCTCTTTACGCTGCGCTTGTGCCGACTACGCTGCCCGAGATCTTTGCATACGAGCAGAGCATACGAAGCTGCCGACTTCTGCTCTAAAGTGTTCAAATTAATTGCCTACAAGTTTCAAAGAAAGCGCTCTGCCAAGTGATTTGTTGATGCTGCTGATGAATGAGCTTCAGTGGCTAACAAAACGCTGACCTCGACTTCGACTTTTACTTTGACTTCGAGACAAGTCAGCAGTTATGCAAATCTTATCCCAGCAGCTCTCGCTCTTATCTGCTCAGTGGGCAAGGCACGGCACGCCTTAATCGCAGGCTTTCAATCAAATTACTTTGCAGCACACTTCAAATGAAACAATTTCTGCAAAACTTATTTGCACTCGCACTTTGAATATATTTTTCATCAAATCAGTTTGGGTTACGAAATTGAAAAATCGAAGTCAGCCAAAGCCAACTTGCTGAAATCCGAAGAGATTCTTTACGATAAGCCATTGGGGGGAGAAGTCAAAGAGGATGGAATACTTTTTGTTTTATGTTTTATGGAACAGTAAAAAGTTTCCTACGACTTAATTTATGGATTTTAGTGGTTCGTTTTGGTCGTTTCGATTAAGTATCTAGATTTGTTTTGAATGCAGAAGTTTTTTTTAACATTTTATAGCCCATTGAGTAGAGGTCAGAGTTATCGCTAGAACTGTTCCATTCGTCATATATTTAAACTTAAATTTTAGTTCTTAGACATTTTGGGGCTTAGAAAAATCAATTTTCTTAAAGCTTCTTAAACTTATCTTAATCTTATTACAAGAAAATATAAAATTGGTTCTCTCTCCTTCGAATAAGCTTCAAAAGCTGTGAATCTGGCATCAAATCCATCCATCATTTGAGACGTTGACGGGAGAAAATCAGAATTTTCCTCTTAAATGGGGCAGCCCTGGGGGGCGGTGTTCTTCGCTTTGCTCTTCCGCTTTCTTTCTTTTTACGACAAAAGGGAAAAGTGCGCTGCAAATAAAGTTTTGTGCCACGACAATTTCCATTGCCATTCGCACTTGGCAAGTCCCAACCCCAACAATTTTCCGGAAAATGGTCAAGCAACGTGTCAATACAAAAAGTGATACGTTGGCAGTGCTTTCAGCTCCCAGCTTCCAGCTCCCTACTACGCTGGGGTGACCGCACAATTTGTATGTCATTGTTCGGGGTCCTGGGTCCTGCCATCAGCGCTTCGTCACTTGAGTTTTATTGCATTACTTTTGCCGTACAAGGGACAACAAACACATGCACAAATCAAAGCCAGGATTCCAATCGTTGACCTACGGTACTTGGCCACTTTACAACTGCATGGGGGACTGGTCCAACTCCTGGCTAGGGGGGAACCGTCTAATATTCTTTTTGCCAAAGGAATCAACTGAATCCGAGACTGCCGCAACCCCTGCAAATTCTCCCGCTGCCATTGCCACAGCCACTGCTGCTCTCACTACCACGGCTACTGCCACTGCCACAGCCACTGCTTCTGTTGTTGTCCTCATTCTTGTCCAGCATGCTGTTAATAAAATTTTGCGTTCTTTATGCTGTCATCCGGCTGACGTTGCTTCCTCGGCTCCTTGTCCGCTTGCCCGCTCTGTCCTGTCCGCTGTGTGGTGGGAAATTTCTTTAAAATTGTTTTGGTTACTTTCAAATTAGTTTCTGAATGACAACAATGAAGCTTTGCAAAAATGTTGTCATTCCGTTGGCGCAAAGTTTTTCGGAGAACCCATGCTCCACCCCTTCTCCTCGACAAGGAACTGGAGACTGGACTCCCTCGCACTATTCTAAGTTGCTGCTCGGTTGGTTGCTCCTTTTGCTGCTCCTGTTTTCATTTTTACCATAACTACGCTCCGGCCTTGTCCTGCCCTGTCCTGTCCTGTCCTGTCCCTCTCTGCGTTTTATCATGCCTTTTCGTCTCACTTTCTTACTCCGCTCTCCGCTGGGCACTCTCTCATTGGAGCTCTTTCTGCCTGCCGTATATACTTGGCAACCATAAAACTTTCTGTTTATTTCCCTCAAATGCAATTTGACGCTTCCCCACCCCCGCCCGCTCAACTTTCTTTATCGTCTGTCATTTTCTACTGATTTTGCACTATATAAAGCATGGCATTGCTGTAATGTATGGCCTGGCCTCTCCCTCTCTCTCTCTCTCAGATGGGCAAACTTTCTGTGCCCGAAAAAAAGTGAAATTGAGTTTGTCATTTTTTTTATGCGAATACAAAGCTTTGAAACACAAATCAATCGCAACGGTGCTCATAGGCGATGCATCGACTGCACGTAGAGCTTTCAGGTTTGTGAGGCTGCGCGCATGCAGCTTTGATCAGGGCAGAATGAGAGAGACATAGCTGTAAAGCTTTGTGCAGTATTGTGTTCACACGTACACATGCTGCAATGCAGCCGATCGGTTTACATAATTGAACGAAATCTTTATCTACTTCTCGTGGAAGCTTTTAATTTTCTTTAATTTTTCAACCTGCTGAATTTTTAATTAATTCTCTGATACACCAAAAGTATAGTTCGACAGAGTCTCTTTACCGCTTCTCGCTGGAATAATTGATAGAAAACAGTTTACCGCATCAATCACAGTTTGTTGCTGTTCCCGCTAGCGTCGCTTCAGATAGTACTGGGACAGTTTCGTGTAGTTGCTCATTGCAATTTTATTGATTTTATAATTTATTTATTTGCCTTCCCATTGCCTTGTGCTGTCTGCCTGCCTCCGCACAACTGTAATTAATTTGATTTTAATGCTTCTTCAAATGCTCTCGACGTTGTCGCCGCAGCGCACCAGTTTCGCAAAACTTTAATGGTCGCCGCAGCAGCAGCGGCAGGCGTCGGGCTGCTAATTTTGCAGAGGGTTGTAGGCAAGGCAACGCAAGCAGTATGAGCAGCAAGCAGTGTAAGCATTGAGTGTGGGTGTGGGTGTGGGTGGGCGCCAGGTGCGGCTGGTCCGGGCGCAAACTTAGGCTGGCTGGCGCTCATTTCTAGCGCTACTTAAAAATTAATTTTGTTAATGAGTTTTTCGTCGAGCGCAGAGTTGGATGTTGCAAGGGGCAAGCTGCTTACCTGCTTGCATCCAACTTTTGGCCAACTTTAATGCAGCGCACAGCATTCCACTTGAACGACTACTTAAATATGCGAATACCTACCAACATATGCATTACGAATCCTTGTTTTGGCTTTTTCCATTTCATTCGCAGCGAATCGTTGAGCGTGCAATGCTTCCACTGGGTCCTGACGCGCATGCAACATGACATGGACATGATTGTGAGCGACAAGAAACAGGCGCGTCTCTGGGCCAAGCGACTGCATGTTGCCCTGCTGGTAAGTTTGTGCAGCTGCTCCTCCCCACTGCTTGGCCAGCTAAGCAGTGCGGGTGTCTGTGCGTGTGTATGTGTGTGGGTATGTTGTTGTTTGTACGAGCGTAAGTGCACTTTTGGGTGCACTCTGTTGCTGCTCGTCGTTTGCCTGGGATTACGACCGGTACTTAAGCCAACTGAATGTACCTTAAAGAACACCGGAAGATGGCTCAAACTTTCAATGAGCCCTAAGAGCTGAAGCTTTGTTCGATATTAGTTGGGGTTTGCTTTTAGTTAAAGAGATTTGCTGATGATCTTCAATGAAGTTGATTTAAAAGGCATGCAATTTAATGCTCGCACATCTAATAACAGTTTCCAACACGTCTTAAATTATAACCCACACAAAATGTAATTCACTTCGAAGCTTCATCAATTCCATTTACACCGAAGATTGTTTTTGTTATGGCCCTAAGCAAAGGAGCCGGAATATATGTACTCATTAGTCAGTGGCGAGACTCAGAGACTCAAAGGCTCATTACAATGCAACACACACACAGCGCTCAGAGCTCGCTCAGGTTACAGGTTCAGCCATTGCCCATGCCCATGCCCATGCCCATGCCCGTCTGAGTGTCTGCCAAGTTAATGCTTACCAATTTTTTAATTAAAGACATTCCGGGAATTGCTGCAAAGCTTGCTGGCCCTGCAGAAGCTCAAGGATGACAACGCGCGGGCCCTCTTTGATATGCTCCTGAACAACGTATGCTATGTCCTGGAGTACAGGGAGACAATACTGCACTTGTTAATGAACTACAACGAGGCGCACAGCACAAAGTGAGTATCCCGAGCCAACCCAAGCGACAAACCATTCCAACTATGCACATACATAGCGATTGGAAATAACTGGCCCCCGAACCCAAAGTCCCATGCCTCGCAGTGGCCGGGAGAGTCAGGCCCAGCTAGGCGGCATTTCTGACAGTAAGTGGGGATGAACGGGTAGACCTCATGGTATGCGCAAATAAGCAAGCCAAACACACGCCGTCTAATGGGATTACTATTGAGAGTAGTTTGCCCCCCATTGAAGTATGCAGCGACTGGCAGTGGATTCAGAGCTCCTGCCGCACCCAACCCTCGCTCGTCCTGACAATCAGCCATTGTTTGTCTTAACGGCATGCCTTTGTCTTAAGTTCGTGGTCTGTTTGTTTGGCTATTTGCACATACGTCTGAGCTGTACATACGCCCCAAAAGCAACCACCAGTATCTGAACTAGTTGCGCGTCGAGTGGTTCGTGTCGGTGGCTAAAAATTTAATTGATTTTACAAGCATGTGCCAGCAGCACGCGTGCCCCCGCATAAGAATTATGCCATTTGGCACACTGCATTTTCGTGCCACGTTACCCTTGCTGCATCCTAATTGGCGTGTTAGCTGCGCAGCATTGCCCCACTCTTGATAAATCACCGAAGAGCATTGGGAAAATGCTACACTAGATTTAGCAGCAGATTTTCACGAGCGTGCTGTTGCCCCTCGACTTGATTTTAAACTCATTAAGCTGCGAGGCACTCACCTAGATTTCCCGCGAGTTCATTGACTTATGCTCAGCAACATAATAAACACAGCAGAAACACTCCAACAGGACCTCTGTCATGCGTGTATGCTGAAAATTGTAGTCCTTTCGGGCACGCCCTTATTTTTTTTTGTATGCAAAATCCTTTTAGATAATTGCAATTTTTTGTAGTGCCAAACATGAAGAGTTCAACTCACTTGAATACTTCTAAATGGCTGCACAATTCGTCTGTCAAACAGAAGTTCGCTCTGCCGCGGAGAGCTCCACTGATGATAGCTGCAATAAATGCCTGCAAATTTATATCTGCATCGCAGACAGTAGTTCCCCTGGCTGGCATGCCACCAACACAGTGGGGCATGGGCAAACCGCTGCCTAAATTCATTCAATATCAGTCAAATAACAAATAACTCAGAATATTCAGCGGCAAAGTGGATAGGGATCATGTTCCTTTGCTGAAAAGAATGGCAATTATTATGACTTTACAGAAGCTAGAAGAATAGACACAAAAAATATACAACAAGAGTTCCAAAAGAACGTTACAGCAGTTTTTAGTTCTTTAATAATTGTACAAAAAACATACAAATTAGTGGCAAAACATTGGCTCTGCTGGGCATCTGTTAATGAGTCGAAAAATCTTTAAACTTTCATTGTTAGTTAATGTTTAATTAAGTAACTTCTGGCCTAAAGGGAACAAAGCTACTTTCAGCTATCTGGAAAAGTTAAACGCAGATTAATTTGTTACTGAATGAGGAGAAATTGATTGAACCCTGAAAAATTCCCTAAAAATGCGTTTAGCTTAGAAAATATTGATAAAACTGTTTTGTTATTTATGGTTACTCAAAATACCTTTTGGGTACCTTTTGCCTTCCACTGTGCCACTGGCCCGGCCCACAAGCAAATGAACAAATTGTTGTCAGTCGCCTGTTGCCCTCGTTGTTGGGGGGGTTTTGAGTGTCAACTATCAGCTGGGCATGCGAACAGGATGGATTGAGGGTGTGTGTCCAGCTCCTAGTCAGTGTGTCTGTTGGTTTGAGTACTGGCAATTTCAAAGCTTTGACTAAATTAATTTAGCGCGCAAACATGAAATTGACAGAGTGCGGCACGGAAGGATGCAGCCGGGGTACGGGGCTGTGCGAGTTGTTCCAATTGCGGATGCAGATTGTGATATTTATCCGTACGTGCAGCTGTAGATGCTGGCTGCTGGCTGGCTGGCTGGCTGGCTGGTTAATTGGAGCATGATTAATGGGAATCGAGTGAGAAAATAGTAGATGTTGCCTCTAAAGAATTAAATCGATTATACATGAAGCAGATCCAACGGGCGGGCATTCAATTGGCTGGCAATCATGTAAATTGCGGCTCTCTGCCTTTTGAACTGCAATCAGCGTTTTGAGCACTCGACAGATTAAAGATTTTCGTTGTCAAGATGAATAATTTATGAGTGCCGGCAGCCCACACAGGGCGGAGGGGGTTGTCCCTTTCTGCCAGATTATTGCCATGCTGCTGCAATCGCGGGCCCATCACTCATTGTTGTTGCTGTTGCTGTTGCTGTTGCTACGCTGTCATAATTAATAATATTTTCATTATAAACGTCTTATGACAACAACAACAACAACAACAAGCCACAAATGTGCGTCTGCCTGTGTCGAAGTGGGAGTCACAGTCTGGGCGCAATTACATTTTATCATTTATTCAACATGCGCTCAAAGTCGGCGCGAAGACAAACCCCAACCCAACCCCTCCTAAGCACCAAGCATTGACCTAAGCTCCTACCCCAACATCCAACACCCAAGTGTTCTAATTAATTTTGCTCAACCTTCTATGGGGCTACTCCAACTTCTGCTGCTCCCTCCGTGCACTGAGGCTGCCTGTCGTCCATTTAATCAACGTAAACGCGAATATCAAATCAGGCGGCAGCCAGCCAGCCAACAACAAGAAGTTACAAAACCGCGTCCTCACATACAAATTAATTATAAATAATTTATTAACGATTTATCTTTGTCCTGCCGCCACATGTGCTTGAGCTAGAGCAGTCCAAGGATGTGGGCGGGTGGGACAGGGGTGCTGAGACTCGATTTGCACCTGCGCATCATTAGGAGCGGTGGAAGGTGGATGGGGCAATCGATTTGCGTTCGCTTGTAAAATGGTTTGTGGCATGCAATATGTTATGCAACCCACCCACGACCCACCAGGACCTGGCTGCTGGCTGCTGCTTCTACTGCTTGCGGTTGCTTGGCGTTGTGGTCAGATACCCGCAACTGCCAGCAAACGCCACCAGCAGCAGCAGCGGCAGCGTCAGCTCTAGCCTTCGGCTCTCCATTCCGTTTCTCTGGTTCGTGCTGCCGGCAGTTTTTACGCTTCGACTGCTGTTCATGCTGCCACCACCGATGCAGGCGACGACCACAGACATCTTTGCGGTAACTTCTACGTCGGTAACATGGATGTGCTTGATTAATTTCACATTTGAGTTATCATCAAATGTGCACACACACACACACACACCCATCCGCTCACGGTTACACCGCCACACACTCAAACTCAAACACATTCTCTTCGCTCTCCGCTCTCTGCTCTCTGCTCTCCTCATATCGTATCGGTTACGCCTTGCAGTCAACTGACTCCTTTTATCATCAATTTGCTGCTGCCCAAAGCCATCCTCGTGCCCCGTTCCGCACTGACTGTCAGAGTTGTGGTCCATTGCTGACAGTTCTTGATCGGTACAAATGGCTAAATATCCTCGAATTGGCTGGTGAATGTTGAGAGGGGCATTTGCTCAACAGATGGTTTATGTTGTCCCATTGAATTTCTAGCTCAATTAAGACTGTCTAATTTATTGCAGCATTAATTGTGTGCAATCATTTAAGGAGTCAAAATCCTATATGCAGACTAACTACTGGGTTGCAGATGGTTCGTTGATACAGTGACATAGTGCCCGGGGATCTATGTAAATGTTTGAGAAAAAGAGTTCGCATTTTAACTGTATCTGATTTCTTAAGAGCACATAATATTCGTCTATTCTCTCACATGCAACGATATCACCACTCACAATCGCGTTATTGCTTTGAGCAGTTTTGACTCTCTACAGTCTTTCTCTTTTATTTGGTACTCAGAAGCTCAAAGCTTTTGAATTATTTGCGTGTTTCATTTGGCTAAATGTCTATCTACGCCATCGATTCCTGTTTACCCGGAATGCCGGATAACCACTTCCACATTACAAATTCATTTCCCCGAACGCAGCTACGTTGCCATGATGATCACAGGTTGGCTTTTGTTTTGTCCTTTTCCGTGCGGTGCTGTGCCGTGCGGCACATTGACCGCATTTCAAATTGCTGTTGCTGGTGGCGGCTGGCATTAAAATTCGCAATGAATTTGCATAAATTTTGAACGGCGACATCGTCGGTCCTTTTGGAAAGTTTAACATTTTCCACTGGCAACGCGATTTAACCATTTCATGGAACTGAGAGCCGGTGCCCGGATCCTGTCCTGGCAATTAGAGTGAACGCGGAAGGGCTTGGCGTAAATGTAAATGGGTCACATGTATGCAAATATTGGAAAATCATGTTAAAAGACGGAACCCAGATTATTCAGCTCGAACTGGGCAGAAGTCAAAAATTCGATTTTATACTCCCCTGCATATACACATACACATTCATTAGTGGGAGAATGAAAAATATCTACACTGGTTTCTTCCCCCAATTAGCTTTCGTCACTTGCTGCATTTGATGTTCTTTTCTCACACACATAAGAAAAATATTCTTTTTTGCGCTGCTTCCGATCGCCTCTTCCATCTCATGCCATTACAAAAGGGCGCAACACATCACTTTCCCCTTCTAGCCATTCACCGTTGCATTGACAAGTCATAAAGGCAAAAAAGTCAAAGTACAACGAGAGAGCAATTAAAAAGTATTTCTGCCGCTCTCACACTTTAAATTTTTCGGACGGAAGAGAAGCTTTGTTTCTCGAGAATTCCATGCTGCCCTCTGCTCAGCTTTGTCTCCCCTCTCCCACCACATGCCAACCCAGATGCATAGCGCTTTCCCCTTCTCGCCATTCACCGTTGCATTAACAACTCATCAAACGCACAAACGTTCGCTCTCTTGAGGTAGGAGAGACAGAACACAAAAGCTAAAGTCAAATGAGAGAGAAATTGGGAAGCGCATCAGAAGAGAGCATGGAATGTTCTAGAAGCCAAGCCTCCTACGCAATTTTCGGTGCAAGCGCGGGGTTTTAAGTCAGTTCCGGGTAGCGGGTTGCGAAAATCGGGAATTGGACGAAAAATTGTCGCGCATGTTGTAGTGCAGAGTTGTGGAGAAGTGAATTCCTATTGTTGTGCCAGTGCGTTTTCGTATTCGTGTTCGTTTCGTAAATCGTTCTTTCCACGAAATCTGTGACTTCCATGTGTCAGGGAGAGGAGCAGCAAAACGTAATGGCAGAAGTAAGAGAGAGCAAAAACATTTAATGTTTTTTTACACGGTAAAGGGTTCCTCCTCGTTTAAGCTACACTACACATAAAATACACAAATTAAATGTAGTCAGCTTTAATGCATCTCGTTTCTTGTTTCGTCATCCGCATAGTTTTAGATTAAGCATCGTTGACCATTCTGATTTACGAGTGCGTGTGTATATTTGGCCCATCATTGCCAGCCTATTTTGCATACTTTCTGGCTTTGAATTGTCGTTTTGTGTGACTCGCGCGATTTTCATTATTCAAACGGCAATCAATCATTTTAACAAATTGACGTGCACAATGACGCAGGCTTTCATTTTTTGGCTTGGCTAAAAACAAAGCGGAAGTTTGGCCCTGCATAGCGGCAGCTGATTTTGGCAGTTTCGCGGCTGTCTTTTGGCCGTTTTTTGTTACGGTTTTCGGGCCTTTTTCCCCATTCTAAGGGTAATTTGCTAATTGGAGGCGTCATCGGCCTCGACAGCGGCCGACAAGAGCGAAGGCAAAGGAAAGGGCAGATACGGACACAGGGGCAGAGGCAGAGGCAGAAGTAGAGGCCACATCATCAGTCAGAAAAGGTCTGTCCTTGTGTGCCACCGACCCTTTGAATCCAGTTTGGTTAGTTAGTCCTGACAACGGGGTGGCCTCAGGCTCAGGCTCTGTGGTTGGATGGGTGGAATGGAATGGAGTGGAGTGGCTGTGGCTGTGGCTGTGGGCGGGCCAGCCTTTTTCCCTATTTAATGTGCTCGATGATATTCAATAAATATTTAGGAGCTGCCTGAAAAGGTTATTGATGTTCGTTCGGTTTTGATTTGTTCGCATAAAAGCTGAATGAGTGGTAAAAATTGATTGAAAATTCTTTAAAGAATTTATGTTATTAGTTCTCTCTTGCACCATAACTGGAATTCGTGTATTTGGGTTGATCGTGATATCCAGCTGGTTAATTGTTGGCTGGCGGCTTGGAATGTACATAAATATTTCTCCATTAAGCTGGCAACATGGAAATCGCATTGGACGATGACACAAAAAAACAACAACAACAAAAATGTACATTGCAAAGGCAGGAAATGATGGAAGCGATTGAAAAAATCATACATTTGCCACATTTAATTGAATTTTGAGCATGTGGCATGCATTTTTCATAGTGGAGGTGGTCGACATGTAACAAATTCAATTTCGATGCGTGTACATGGATAATAAAAAATGTAATTACAATATATTTTCATATTGTTAACTATTCCATTCTCTCGCCCTCTCTTTAAGGGTCTTCCTGCGCGATGTGGTGGAAACGGCCAACGTTTTCATTAAAATGATGGAGCGATTCTGCCAGGACTCTGTCGTTGTGCAGGACAAGCGGCGCGTCGCTGGGGGCCGCAGGAAGAAGCAGCCGAAGGCCAAAACCAAACAGACAGCGGCCCCACAGCCCACGGAGGTAAGAGCAGCTAAATTAAAATATATATTAAAATACATTTTTGGTTTAATGTTTAAAAATAAATTGCCGCATGAAACAACTTTACTCTGGTGGTCATCGCCCGCTGTGCCAGCCATAAAACATACTCTAAATTGCCAATAAAATGTATTAAAAAGGAGGCAAAACGAACAAAAACAATTGCCGTCTATGCTGGCTGGCATGTTTGAAGATTTATGCGTATGATCGTGAAATTTAATTGAGTGAAAATATATCCAAAAAAAGCGAGCAAAAGCAGGAGCAGCTTCAAGGCGATGATTTTGCGCGGGTGCCGTTTGTTTCTGTGTGTATATGCGTATTATTTCAATGCAACTGAATGTGACCTTACCGCATGCACACGGACACACCAGCACACACACACACACACACACACACACACACACGTGCATATCGTGCGAAGCTTTGGGTGCCGCTTCTGTTGTTTTTCCGCCGCTTTGACCCTTTTCAAGCGGCTCAGACTTTGTTTTTTTTTTTACTGAAATACTCTACTAGAAGAGCAAGGGTAGGGTGGTTAGGACATTTAATTAAATATTAGTATTTTTACTTGCTAGATTTTGCATTTAATTAATGCAAATACCCAAAAACAAATGAAAATAATTTGTTCTATAATTTGTTCTACTGCAAAATCAAAGCTTAGAGTATCTTCAGTGCGTAGTGGCAACCGCTCTTCCATTTCTAACCATCTTTTGTTTTTTCTACACTTTGTCGCGCTGGGACAGGACGCGCCGCTGAGCGTGATTTCCGGCCACCGGCCACTGGCCACAGGACTGCTGCATGCCGACTGTCGACTGCTGGCCTTTGCCACAACTGTGTAGAACCTGCACGGGCAGGCAGTCAGGCAGTCAGGCTGCCGCTTGGCTTTATTATTTTTTTGTTTCCCCTTTGTGGCCAGCTGGCCGCAAGCTGGTCAAGGGGTGACACGATTCTGACACTGCCTTGTGGACTGAAGGAATGCCTTTCAGGCAACAACCTTCGATTGTGTACCATTTCGATATATTTACACGCATTTCGCGCATCAATTTTTCAACAATTAATTTATAAATATTTGTCATTGCCGGCGAGCATGAAAAACATGAGAGAAGCGCACACACACAGCCACACACAGGCACAAATATTTGCATGTTCCTGCCCTTCTTCAGCAAACAAAAGTTAAACGAGTGATAAACAAAATGTATAAAATTGTGTAACGCGGAAGGCAAACAAAAGAATTGTGGAACAAAAAAAACGCAGGAAAAATCACGAAAGAGTTTACCGTTTATATTTGTCACACATTTTCCAGCGATAGAACATTAATATGAACTGAGCAAAAGGGCGTGGATATACCTTTTCGAGTACCCTGCATGCAGAGAGATTTTCCATTGATCCCTTGCCATTGATTTTGAAATTTAATGAAATGAAAATACTTTTGCCATGTGCCAATGTCCTTGTATTTAGAGGAACGACGTCAGACCAGCCATCGGGGGTGTTCAATTAATATGCATTGTTAACAGAACAGAACAGAACAGAACCGATAGGGCAAAAACAACAAAAAATGCGAAAACAATGGATTACAATTATTTTGTTTTATGCCAGTAATACAACAAATAATTGGGTAGGCAATCAGGCAACAGCAGCGGAATACTCTTGGCAAATTATTCTACTGCTGCTCAATGAAGAAGTTCAATTATGTAGAGCGGAATGACCTTTGTCCCTATAGAGCCTACAGCTACGACAAAAACTTGCCAAAGTCCATAACTAAATAGGAATACTCCCTTGTTTGTGTGCCTTTGTTTGGGCAGCTTTAATACAAAACAAATTCCAATTATGAAAATCATTTTATTTGCATTTTAATCGCTATCGAAATATGCATTTTTTTTGCGCAGGTTTTGTCTCTTGTCACTTGCAAATGGCCGACAAATGTTGTTAGATATTTGGTTATAATTACTACTGCATATCCGTGGAATTAATTTTGTACATTGCTTTTGTTGATTATCTATGCAGATTCATAAATAATTGATTGTTGCATAATTGCAGGATGAATTGTCGAGCAAATGGGCTGAAATGGCATCGGAAGTATGCACCGTGCTCTACGGAGGAGTCAACCTGCCCGAGGAGGAGCTGCCCCTGCCCTTTGATGCGGCATCCGACAAGTCAATCGATGATCAGCGGTTCGTAGAGGCAATGGTACACCTTTTTCCTTTCCTATTATATTTTCTTGGTTTTTTCTTACTTACAGCGAGGATTGCATGATTCGCATAAATAAAATGCTGCGCACCGGGAAATTGGAGCAGGCCATCGCCCTGCTCCGTGCTGCCAGGTGAGTGTCTGGCTGGAGCATCAAAATGTTATTTAAGCCGCTCGCTGGCTGTCCCTGTCCCCATCAAATTGAGCAACAACTTGCAGCCGTAATCCCTTTTGAAAATTCTCCTTTTAATAACCTGACATTGACTATTGCGGCCCCACGTTCCGTGTCCTCCGCAAAAGCAATTCGCATAATAAATTAACTCTAGTAAAAATGGAAGAAAAAAATATAAACGCTTCTCGGTTCCGGCATTCTCTGGGCTTTTGTCCCACTTGGCTGGCTTTTATCGAATTTTATTCTCTTCCTGTTTACTCCTCGAATTTTCTCTCGAGCGAGAGTCTGGGCTGCCCTTAAATTAAATAGTTTTTATTTATTGTTAAGGCAGAGCACGAGGCAGGTAACTACAGATAATGGCTGCGCGAGGCATTGTGCTCCATGTCCTTCCTTGGTGGTCTTCGCCTGATAATGAGAACGAATGAGGGAGGAAAGGTGGTGTACTGCTGGCTCTGTGGTCTGTGGGCAATGCCATTTCGACCCTGGGGTTTTGTCTCGTTCTCGTGTGCAATTTTTCAGTCAACAAACCGCAGCGGCCATGGCGCAGGACAGCTCCGTTCCTGGCTCAGGGTTCAGTGGATATGCCTGCCTGTCTGCCTTTCAATTTAATTGCCCGCTCAATTATGTAAAGCTCATTGAAGATGCGCCCAAGAAATGTTTATTGTTTGTGCTGGAAAATTGCGTGAAAATAATTTATCTTTTGCGCGTCAACATTTAAATAAGGCCAACACAGCGCGAGAGACACAAGACGGAAGGCAGCAGGGCCAGGACCAGAGCAAGAACCAGCAGCATCCTCCACGACAGATGTCGTGTCGTCAAAGGCTGAGAGAGCAATCGAAAACGTGGTTTTAAATATTTCCAAGTCATTTAATTACAACCTCATTAAAATCTTCCACCTGCTGCATGCTGGTCCCGGTCGGAGTTCGTCTCAAAGGCTCACTCACTCCCTCTGCAAATAGTCGGCAACTCTCGAGGCTTCGACACTGTCTTCCATTTCCACTGGGGAAAAGAGTAATTCTGTCAGTTCCTCTCTCTCTCTCTCTCTCTCTGTCTCTCTGTGCAATTTCAATTGTCAAACTTTCCTTGAAATTTATGTACATTTTAATTGTTGCCAACGTACATACATTTTTTTGTATTATTATGTACACAATTTTCGCCTGTTGCCCTGCTGCTCTGTTCCTGCTCTGCAGCGGCAGCTTAAAAAGGTCTAGACGCTTTTTGTGCTAATAAATTAAAATGCGATATGCATATAGAGAGAGAGAGGGAGAGAGAGAGAGAGAATAATGGCACTTGCACGGCCCACGAGCCATGGCCCACGTCTCTTGTGTCTGGCCATTGTCTGGAACTTTTTGTGCCCCCGTTGCCTAGCACTCACGGCTCGGGACAGTTACACTCTCACTTTGCTGCTGCATACACTATGAAAAGAGACATCAAAAATGTATCAATGGCAAGGGATGGAGGTTTGGCAGCTATCATTTGCGTTTCTTCTATAGAAATGATTAGTTTTGCGTGAAGCAAAATCAAAATCAAACTATAATTGCCATAGAAAATGTTGTGAAAATGTATTTCTGTTGAGTGTATTCCGCAGTTCGTTTTGGCCAAGTTCCATAAAGAGAACATTTTTGGGTAAACAAAATATTGGAAAATAAACTCGAGTCGCTAGCTGCAGAAATTCCTCGCACTGTGCATTTATGTATGTACAAATGTATGTACGATGTATGCACGTATGCAAGTCTATATTTTTATATTTTTAAATAGTTGCCAAGTCACACTATTAGATGGGGGTTTTTTCTTCCTACAGCTGGCTTAATGGGTGCACAGAAATGTCAGCAATGGGAACAAAAAAAGAAAAAAAAAAAACAGCAGCAAACTTTTAAGTGAAGTAAATGCGCAAAATGTTTATTCAAACTTCACTTTGGTTGCAACTTTCAGTTCTTTTACCCCCACCCAGTCTGGAGCTCTTAACTAAGCTTATTTAAGCGTCTGCTGATGCGCTTATTTAGCATATCAACGGGGAAAGCTGCCGCTGGTGCTCCAGCTTCAGCTCCAGCTCCAGCTCCAGCTCCAGCTCCAGCTCTTGGGTTTGGCTTTGCTACTGCCCCGTGGTAGTGGTTGCTGCTCCTTCTATGGCTGCATTTCTTGTTGATTTTGTTGACTGTGAATATTTAGCATTTTGCTGCTTTCACGAGCAAAAGCTGCCGTGCAGCTTGTGTTTTTCAAATCAACACAAAATTCATTTGCCTTAAAGTAGGAACCCAAACGGGAAGTAATCATAAACTTATAACAAAAGTGCTTAGTAAAATTGCAGCCAGTGGCCAATGGTCATCATCCATAGCACAGAATAAGAGATCTTTGAGGGTACCAAAACTAATCCGTTCCATCCAAAATCAGCTATGCGGTAGCACACATATAATCAGGTGAATACCAAGTTTGACCAATTGAAATATAATACCCTGAACAGCTTGTTATAGCACATTGTGAATTGCATTGAATCACTGGATTTGTCTGGGCAATGTTCAAATAATCCTTGCTGCTGCACTGGCATGCATATCGATTTATATCGACTTATAATTAATCTGGGCTTCACCTCAATGTGATTATAAAATGTTCTGCATAAAACAATTCCTCTGCTGTTGCACACGACAGACAATACGACGGGGGACTTAATCTAAGTTAAAAGGCAGCACCGAAAAGTTTTCACTTTGATTTTGGGTTTTCATCGATTTTTTCGATGGTTTATAATTAACCAATATTTCGTCCCATGGCCAAAACCGCTATGCAAAAACCGCTAATTATCGTCGACTAGGGTCGGACTGGGACTGGGACTGGGACTGGGAGTTATTCACAAAATATGTCGCATAACTTTTAAATGAACGCACACAAATGTTGATGTAAACCAGTGCCACTGCCACAACCACAACCACAATGATGTTGCACTATTGCTGCTGTTGCTTGCAACTGTTGTTGGCCCTCCAAAAATGGCACCCGCAGGATTACAAAACGAAACGCAACTAACGAACAGCCCAATGGAACCACTGTTACAATTTTTATGCACGGTAGAAAGCGGAATGAAAGGTTGTTAGTTTTTTACGTATCCAATGCAAACATCCACAAAGATCTGAATATTCCAACAATTAAAGATGAAATAAAGAAAACTAGTAAGAAATACATCGACAGACTCCACAACCACGAAAATAATTTAGCCTTAAGTCTATTTGACAATAGCCTAACAGTAAGAAGACTGAAAAGATACCACATTCTCGATATCCCTGATAGATAAATCCAACAAACTGAAAAGATGTCTCTGTCCGTCGCAGGGCTCATTGGAAAACTGCCATTTCTGTTAATTGAATATTAATTATACAACTTACTAATTGTTTAAAAAAACAGATTGTAAATATAAAGAGAGAGAAGTTTAGTGGCAAGTTTATCTATGTTTAGCTGCTCTGCAATTCTGTGTGTCCTGCCTCTATGTTATGTGCGCATTTTGTATGCATTTTCGGGTATCCTTTAGTCGAGCCATTTTGGATGCTGCAGGGAAGCTGCTCTGTAGAGCGTGGTGTCTATCAATTTATTGGCTGGGCGACAGCGAAAAGCATAAGTTGCAGCACTATCGCCTACGAACACGAACAAATAAGCATAAATATGTCGCTTAGGCAGTCTGTGTCTGTTGCCCTCTGATATGCCAGAGAGGAAAACTGACACACTGGCTGAAGGCAAGTTTATAATTGGAGTACGGGAGTGGGAAGCTACGTACGTCACTATCTCGTTCTCGTTATGTTTTTGCTGTGCGTTGCATTTTAAGCTGCTTTCAAGTATTAAATTAACAGCGGGCAACGTTGCGAAAGGCCTGCAAGCGGCGGTTGCTTGCATCAACCGGAATGGTGGGGGATTATTCTGGACCGACACAGAGAGAGGCGAAAGTGCAACACTGCTGCAAGCTGCATGCTGCACACATGAGACGCAATTTTAAACGCATCAATTTCAGTTTGCGAGAGCTAAAAGCTTTGCTTGTTGCATCCTTGCTTGCCGCAGTGTTCGAATTTTTGCAGCAGCAGCCTGACGCTGGCCAGAGTCGCTTGTTATTACAGGCATTGTTGTTGCCCCAAGCGATGCTGATGCTGATGATAGGGGTTAGGGTGCGAATGATTTCTATAGGCTTGTCGATTCACGTTCTTCACGCTGAAAATCGATTTGGAGCAAAGTTTACCTCATGCTGCAGTTTGGTGAGTCGCTAATGAAGCCTAAAATGAGGCATAAATGAGGGTTTCGGTTGCGGAGCTTAGCGGAATAAACTGAATACAAATCAACATTGAATGTCGCAGCAAAATGAATTTTCTAGCATAAATAAGCTTCCAAATTCAGCTCTCCAACTCCATTCTCAATCCATGCACAACACTCACAGAATTGATGAAAAAATGCCCAAAAGGTTGCTTACACTTTATAGGAATCTTGGACACAGTTCGATGAGGAAGCAGAAAAACTGCTTCTAAATTCTACCTTAAAAGTACGAATAATTATATTAGCTTCATGTTACAAGTTCTCCGTTTAACTATTGATTTGAAACCCATTGTACAACCATTTTATATTGCAAACTTCACGATTTAATATACCTCAGAGCAGTGCCATAGTGGCAGCAGCTCCCAGAGAACCCAGAGAACCTTCCCAGTCATAATTAATTTGTTCTGTGCTTGCACTCTGCACGTGCCACGTGCTCCTTGTAAATGGATGTACCTACATATTTGCAATCTATTTTCTACTCTTTCTCTGCTGCAGGGAGGTCTGGCCGGAGAACGATGTGTTTGGCGCTCCTGCCGCGGAACCCAAAGATGAGCTGCTGCTATTGCGTGAGATTTTCATGCACAATATTACAACAGGTGAGTCGCGAACGGGGCTGGGGGCAACATTTTAATTATTGTTTATTACGGTGCATTATGAAGGGAGCACCACGGACCAGGAGCCTTCCGTCTGCCTGACCGTTGTTTTAATTAAAAATGAAAATCTGCCACTTGGCTTTTGCGTGTCATTTATCTTGCGCTGTCTGCTGTCTTCGTTATTTTTTGCTGTCTTCTGGCTCGTGCCGTCCCTAGTCCTTCGTGCTGCTCCTACTGCTGCGTCCTGGACAGTTGGGGCCACTTCCGGTGCAGTATTTTGCATTCTCCACTCTATAAATTTGCTCGCTGAAAATAAGCCAAATTATAGCGAAACTTTTCAGCTCTCTCTCTCTCTGTCTCTGTGCATGTCCTTGTTGCATTTCGCTTGGCATTGTCTAAGTTTTGTGCAGGCTCCGTTTGGCTTTTTGCGTTTCTGGCCAGCCATCCTTGGCTCTGCTCTCCCGCTGGCCAAGCATCCTCTCTGCTCTGCTCTCCCGCTGGCCAACGAGCTGCGCTTAACAAATTATCCAACAGAAATTCTTGCGCTTCATTAAAAGTAAAAAATAAAAAATGAGTGCCAGCATAGATGGAGCTTCCTTCGCAGCGTCTGTTTTTGTGTGTCCCTTGGCTTGGGTCCACTAAATGAAAATATATTAAACGCGTAATTGTTTTATTCCATTTTTTGTTTACACCGCCACCGCCCGCCTGCCTGCCAAGTGCATTGGCTTGTGAAATTTTGTGTTTTGATTCGGCTACCCAGCGGAGCGGGGAGCGTTGACAATTCGCTGTCCATATTTGTATCCATATTTTCCAGCGCCAAGCCCGGGATCTTCCTCCATCTCAGCCTGACATGACTTTTCAATTTGCCATCTCGTTGGGGGCGCACCTGAAAATGCCGAAAGCTGCATCGAATTTGTTGCCTTTCGGGCTTTGCGCTGTTGTGACGTGCTCGTCAAATACAGAGGAGTATCTATGCGTATACATAATAATAATAGCAATAACGTTCCTGCGCTGCACTCGAGTATCCCCACATACCTTATCGCTGCACTGCACTGCAGTTTTCGGTGGCAGCGAAAACTTTTCCCTGGCAAGCGCTTTAAGGCGCGCATCCATGGCTGACACTTTTTTCCTCTTGTATGAAATATATACAGTACAAGGACGTTGGAGATGCTGATGCTGGGGAGACGGTGCAGAAGACTCTGTGCCAACGGCAAAGTTTTCAACTTTTGCTGCGCCGTGCAGTTAATCGAGATTGAGATTTTTGTGTGCGAAATTTATGATTTCCGCTGTTGGAAAGGCAACTTATATCAAGAATGTTTTGCGTTCCGTGAGCTATCAGGTTCGGTCTTTAAAGCACGAGTTATGGCCACAGTGAGATACTTCTTCTTTTTGTAGTGTACGTTGATAGTCAAGTCAAGTTAAACTGCTAAAAATGCACTTTTAAAAACTGAAAGAGTGCCATTAAGCTGAGGAAAAATTGTAGCTAGTGCACTTAACCATGTTATACATGTCTGAAAGGGGATTCTAGGAATTACTTAGGTGCATTCCATCACAATTATTACCTACAGATTCCAAGGAGAGTAATTTCTGATCCAAAAGTGGTTCCTGAAATGATATGAGGACGATAACAGTCAACTGACTCGTTGTAGGATTTTGTTTAGTATTTTTTTGGGATTTTTTTGTATCTTTGTAGTATTTTTTAAGTATTTTTTGTAGTATTTTCCTTTGCCTACATTCTAAATCAACTTAAAATTGTTTTTAAAGCAGCATTTCGCCATTTTGGATTGAACAATGTCTGCACAATGACTAACTCCTGCCTCGTCCTCGCGGCATCCTTTTTGGGTCGCTGTCTGTGCCTTGAAGCGCATTCATTCCGTCCGTCCGTGTGTCCACATGAAAGAGTTCTCCTCCAATCGCAGTGCTTAAAGCATTTGAAACCCTCCTTTGTGTCTGCGTCATCGCTTTTTTTTTTTTGTATTTGTTGTTGCTCTTCAAAGGGCTGAGCTCGTTAAGTCCCCCTCAAACAGCGTGAACCGTTCTATACCCGACCAAAGGGATTTGACGGGGCAGCTTATCGCCCGCCGGCCGTCAATAGATTGATGGTCAGTTGACAGTTTTCCCGGCTGCAACAATATGCAATTTAACAACCCAAAAAAAAATGCAACATCCGCTTAAACAAATGTACATTGTACGTGTGCAAAATGTACATGCTAATGTTAAAAAACAAACAGAGGAAAGAGTCCCCAAAGTGGCCATTGACTAGGTCTCTGCCGTGACTCTCCGCCGCTTGCTTGTTGCAGCCGTACATTTTATTAATTACCGGCAACCGCAAAACTGCATGTTGTATGCTCCCGCTCTGCCTGTGGTTTGGCTTTAATTAATATATGCATTTTTCTGTTTTCTGTTTTCGTGCTACCCTGTGTGTGGTGTGCCAGAAAAATCAAACAGACTAACACAATTGGGGAAGGACTTTCTACAAATTGCAATAAATTAACAAATTAAAAGTCTGCCTCTGCAAAGCTTTTGTAAGAAACTAAATGACAAAACCACAATAGGAATCAGACTCGGACTCATATACAGATAGATATGTAGCTGCTTTAGGTTTAATGTTGTAAATTAGGCATCAATCAACATTACTGAGCAATCCTGTACCTTCATTGGGATTACGTGGCTGTCTATCTATGCATTTGCTGTATTTAATTGAGCTACAATTTGGCACACTAATTGGCGGCACAATGGGTATCAATTAGTTGTGCCTGCTCTGCCCTGTCACATTTAATTATTTTACATTATATTAATTTTGCTTTGTGCCAGCCGCCGGAACAGGGCCCTTGGGCAGGGCAGGAGGCAAGAGCATTGACACTTTGCATAATTTATGGCACTTGTCAATTGTTGTGCTTCACAGTACAGCACACACACGTGCTTTGTTTTCAATTTCAAATTGAATTGAAAACTTAATTTTGTGACAAAAAGGAGGCAGCCGAGGGAGTGGGAGAGGGAGAGGGAGAGGGAGGTGTCGCTGCATGCCAGTCAGTCCGTTTGCTTAGTTAAATCTTAATCAAGTTGCTTCGTTGATTTCGATTTGTGGAGCGCATAATAAATGACAACAAGTCCTTCGTACTTCATTCCTATACCATCCCAGACTCATTCCGTTTCTGTGTTCCGTGCTGTCCCTTGTCCTGACACACGGCCAAAGCCAAATCAACGCCCAGGACTCAGACAAAAATAACACAAAAATCCACTCAAGTGTTAAAACAAAACCAACACAGCAACGGTGCAGAGCCTGAACGGGTGGGGATGTTGGGATGTTGGGATACGAATGTCTGTGTATATTTCAAGTCCTGGCCAAGTCTGTGCGCCAAGTCCTTAACTGATTTCCCAGCGCAAACAAGTTGGTTCTGTTGTTCCAGCTCGTTGTCCCCTGTCCCACTTCTTTTTGTCTCGCATAAAAATACAAACTTTATGTTATGAACACAAATAAAAAAAGAGAACAAGAAGAAAGCACACGACAAAGCTCAAGCAAGAACAACAGAAAGTGCGCACGAAACGAATAAAATACAATAAAATGGAATAAAATATCCACAGAGCAGAGAGAGAGAGAGAGAGAGAGGGAGAGGGAGGGAGAGTCATTTGGACAGAGCTCAACCGAATGGCGGGGCCAAGAGGCAGTACTCGTACTCGTACTCGTTGACGTGTCTGCAAATCCACTGCCGTGTGTGCGAGACATCAACCGCAACACCACAGAGCACGACAAGACCACAAACCCGAGACCCAACCCAACCCAAACCCCCCTCTATGCGGATGGTCCAGCGATGACACTTACTCAATTAGGTGCCATGACTTGGCGCTGGCTTGACACTGATTTGCCTTTCATTTGTTCATTCTATTTCCCGCTTTTTATGTGTGTTTCGTCTCTCTCTCTCTCTCTCTCTCTCTCTCTCCCTGCGCTTACCTTGATTAGTTTATCTGTCTTTTGTGTGGGTTTTCCAGCAGCTAGTTTGCTTTTTCAATTTTTGATATAATCCAATAATCGGGCACACATCGGTCCACAAAAAAGTAAATCCATTGACCAAATATTTATGTGTATTTTGGGTGTGGATGTTATTCAAGCCTGGGAAATAACTGCTGCTAAAATAGTTTTTATTCCAAACAAATGAACATATTCCCCTTGAATATGAGCTTTTTTGTGTGTGTTAAAGTTATGGACAGGTTGTGCCTTTAGAACCTCTCTTAAGAATCGCTACAAAAACCTTAATCCTAATTCGAAAGTTCAATGAAGCAACACACCCAAAACGGCTGGCTTAAAAATAGTTCAGAACTACAATTAAAATATGTATTTTCATGCCTTTTGCTGGGGCAACTCTTGTTAACATTTTTGTGCATTTATTTGTGTCTTTTTTTGACTCTTAGCGTGGATTTTCAGTGCAGCCACAAACTTTTTACCTCTGTCCATTCATATCAATTGGGCGGGGTTTTATTTTGCTATTTTGTGTTGTGGCACATAAAAAGCACGCATCAACCACACCTGAGTGCCAGCTGGCATTACTCCAGGGGGCAGCGGGCACGGGCCGAGCGGGCCACAGTTGCCGGCAATGACATTCAAAATGTGTAATGTGAAAAAATAACCGAAAAAATTAAACTTTAAATTGAAAAAGCGAGTCCCCGAGTACTCGGGGACTTTAGAACATTGTTTAAATAAAACTTGTCATAGGTTGTTGTGTGTGTGTGTGTGTGTGTGTGTGAATATGAGAGTTGGAGCGGAATTGTACCTCTAGTAAACATAAAACGTTGCATACTTTGGGGACGCTCTCTCGCAGCTGAGCGACAATAAAAGCCAAGCAAAGCGCGGAGACCAGATAGAAGAGAGAGAGAGAAAACCAAGCACGGCAGGAGGGGAAGGCAGCGTGGGAGGTTGTTAGAGAATGAATGAGGGACCGAGGGAGCGTAAGGCAAAAGTCATAACGAGTGCAAAACCATGAAATGAAATCGTTACCAAAACCACCACCACCCCAGCCACAGATGCCGCCCAAACGTTTTTGCTGCCCCCCCCCCCCGTGTTTCTCGCACTTTCCACTCGCAAATGTGTGGAAAAAATGGATGGAATAACCAAACTGGAATACTCTTATGTAAAATTATAAGCTGGAACTTAATTTGTGCTTGAAACTAAGGCTTACAAATGATACATTTTCGATCTTGCCTATAAACTAATCTCAATCCAAGCACCTCATCCACTCGAACATGGCAAAATATTCATTTTCGCTTTAAAAAATTCTATTTTTATGCCCATAATATCTCATAACTAAGTTGCACGCTCTGCCAGAGTATAAAACCTCGAGGTATATTGTATATTTTTTTGTACATTTGACATTTGTGTGTGGCTGTGGGTGTGCCACACATGGCTCGCCCAGGTACCAGCTCCGAGCAGCTCCCGGGACTCTACTCCACGCACTGGGCGGGTGGTGCTGGTGGGGCTGCAGCTTAAATTAAGCCACGTGTCCCCAGAGTGCACTACGTTGCGTATACGTAATGTGTCCGTGCTTTTTGGCAATGCTGCATTAAAAATGAATGCAATTTAAAGCAAAGAGGCTGGGGGCGTACACCAGTGCGTATGGTGGGTGCTTCCCACTCCCCAGCAACCCGCACAAATGTTTGCATATTTATAGAAATCGACGAGCAAAAAAGCGTAAGTTTGGCTTCCCTTTCTCTTTCCTTTTCCTTCTCCTTTTTTTCTGCTTGACTGGCGCTAATGGAGCCCCATTTGGCAGCACTGTAGCATCGAAATCAATTAGATAAAGTTTTTACCCCCAGCATGCTGCAGGCACACACACAGCACACACACACACACCCACTATGAGAATTTTTAACTTCAGTTTCGGCAGCGCGGGCAGTAAATTGCATAAAAATGAACAGTTCAATGGTTACCCCGGCAATTATGCCATTTTCCCTACCCTCCATGGCGCTTTTTGCTCTCCTCATCTCCTGCATCATCAGGGTAGCAAAGTTGCAGGGGAGAAGATCATGGCAAAGTGGTTTCTCCTTGCTTTCATTTCTTTGCCGATGCGCATTTGGGTTAATCAGAGATAATGTACTTATGGTTTCAGTCAAAAGTGCTGCCAGGACCTGCAGAATATTGGCCCAGCTAGAAGCCATTCCCATTCCCATTCCCATTCCCCATTCCCCATTCACCTTTTGCGGTGTTCGAAATTTGTAACCAAAAGAAAAATCAATCTCGATTGACATTCGCTCATCAAACTGTCGGCGCGTGTCGACACAAATTTCGTTATATTTTTATTATATTACCATTAACCTTTTTATTGCGCACGCATTTCGGTGAACCATTTCCCAGCTCCATCCTCCATCCGTTATTGAATGTTGTATGTGTGTGTGTGTGTGTGTGTGTGTGTGTGTGTGTTTGCCTCGTTGCAATATTGAATATTTAATTCCGAATGTCCAAGGGCCGCATAACAATATCTTGACATGTGCGCCTCGGTCCATGTGGCTCCCCAAAGCGGCGACAGTTTCCGACTCCGACTCCGGCTCCAGCTTCGGCCTCGGACTCCGGCCTTTACTGTTCTCTTCTGCGTTCCCTTCTATGGCCAAGCTAACGATGCATGCCAAAGGAAACAAATGCGCCACAAAAGGTCACAACAGGACAGCAAAGATGAGACGAAAAAAAAACGAAAAAAACGAGAATAAAAAAACAAAACAAGAAAAACCAATTGACTTTCATTTTGTCGGCCATTTGCACACACACACACACACACACACACACACACACACACACACACACACACATGTATGTGTGTATCCACTTGCTGTTGCTGAACGCAATCATCTGATTGCAGTTTCGTTGCGAAATAATTGGATTTGAAGTAAAAATGTTGCTTCCCCCCGTTTCGTTCAGTTCTCTCTGACCTGCTCCCCCCCATCGATTTTGTGGGGGTTTGTGTGTGGCTTGAGTATTGGCATAACTTAGCCAGTCACATTTGCTTCGTGCTTAACTGTCCTGTCGCTTGTGTTACTAATTTAACGTTTATGTTTATCGTCCTCTACGCTTGGTTTGATCTCCACATTAGCTAACTGCCTTCTGGCAGTTCATTTGTTGTGCTCTAATGAACTGCTTTTGTCTCGCTAGAAAACTCCTTGAAGAGTTATTCAGTTGGCTGCCTTTATGGCTGTTTTTAAAGGGTTGTCAGTAGCTTCTGCCTTCATGTTACTACCGCGAAACTGCAGCCATTGCATTATTAAATATCCTCTTCGAGCTGCATCCTCGCAGTAAAGGCAATATTGGAAGTCGAGTCTGTGCTGCCAGCATATTGGTTTATTATTTGCTCGCTCTTTACTTTCTTCCCTTTCCTTTTAACACATGAAATGGATCCACTTTCCCCCCGCCATTATAAGTTATTTTAAACCTCTCGGCCCGTAAGAAAAATATCGAGAGTTTCCTTTCATTTCAAATTAAATAATTTGTCTCAATTTTTATTATTTGTTCACATGTTTCCCGTACCGATTTCGGGGTTTTTTGCATTAAAATTGTTTTGGTTTTGGTTTCGAGAAGAATTCATAAAATGTTTACGTTGTCTTTACATACACTTCCTGTGAATTGCTATTCATATTTGCTATATCCATAATACATTTGTTTGTCTTACTGCTAAGTCTATTGTTAATCTCCACATTTAGAGCTTAGTTTTCTCTGCTTTTATCAACCATTTTTACGCTACGATTTTGGCAGCACTAAGACTAAACATTTATAATTTATATTTGTGTTTCCATTGTCGAACAGCTACATAAATAAATACTCGTTTGTGTTTGTTTGTGTGTTTTTTGGCTTGTCATTTGCTTACTTTCACATTTGTTTTATTCGTTTATTTACAAAATGCACAGGGAAATTATTATTTAATTGGGATTTTGTTATTCCATTTTTGTTTCTGTTTCTGAGAGCTGCTCGCTCGATTCAAAATGCACTGAAATATATTTTCACTGTGTGTGTGTGTGTGTGTGGTGTGTGTGTGTGTGGTGTGTGTGTGTGGGTTTTTTGTTTGTAAATAGAATTGTATTTGTTTATTAATTATTTGCTCGGCTTTATGCTAGAATTGTATCTGTTACATACATATTATATACCATATCTATTTTTTGTATATATATTTTCTAACGGGCTACACACTGTTACGTCAAATATTTGGCAATTAGTTTTTGCTGTGTTATTGTGGGCTTTTCCTTTATTTTTTAACGCATTTTTCACATTTGTTTTCCGACAAATTAAATGCAAATATTAACGTTACTCCATTTTGTTTGCTTTTTGTTCGCTATTTTTGTTTTTATTTCTCTGTAAATTGTCAATACATATTCTACGGAAAGTTGTACATGCAATATTTGAGAAATTGGAAATTCTAATTATCGCAAAAGTATCGCAAAAGTGTCGCAAAAGTGTCGCTACAATTAAATATTACCAACTATAATTTACAGTTTGACATATCAAATGTACAATGCGCAATTAACTTTAATTATTGTAAGTGTTTGTGTGTGTGTGTGTGGTGGTGTTTTTGCTGTACTTTTGCTTGCCATCATTTTTTGGCCACCAATTATGTGCCGTTATTTATGAGCCCAAGCAAACCGCCAAACTGGAAACTGGAAACTGGAAACTGCCAACTGCCAGCAGTGGTCCAGCCAAACAAAAGGCAACTTATTTTCACATAATTTTCTAAATCGCTTCCATTTAACGGCCACCCCGAAATTGTTTGTCCCAAAAAAGCCATTTAGCAGGCAAATAATTACGTGTTGGTCCTCGTCCTGGACCAACTTTATTAACTGCGCTGGGAGACAAAAGTCGACTCTGCTGTGGGTTCGCAAAATGTGTGATCTGAGATCTGGCCTGCCTGGAATGTGCTCAAAGTGTCAAATATCGAATTAACTCATTTGAGTTGGTCCTTCGTCGCACTTGGTGGCTCGAAAAACTTCCTAAATCTTGGCCAGCTGCGTTGTTCTTGGCTGTGGGTGCAGGGGAAACCTTCATTAAATTTGACAATGCTTCAGGAACGAACCGAACCGAACCGAACCGAACCGGACCCCACTGGACTTTGGGTCCTGTCCATTGTCGCTCTGTCCGCCCCGAACCCATTGTCTGTCCCTGTCCGGCTTGCCGTTTCTTTTGTAGCCGAAATTTTGTGCTGTGCCGGCAGAGTCGAATATATAGAAAAGGTTTCCTTAAACACCCAAAGAAGACACCAACAAAAAAAGAAAGCAAGAGAAATGCCTCCTGCTGTCTGACACTTGCCCACTTGGAAGTTCCTTAATTAAGATTTTGTGCGTTCTGGCAGCGGACACAACCCTCGGAGTTGCCTCCCTCTCTGCCTGGCATATAATCCCCACCCCAAATCGGGCGTCGCTTGTGGGTCGGCATTACTTTAATTGTTGTCTCGTAGCGAGGCCCTCACTTTGTCTGCAAATAAATCCTTCAGAATTGCCCAAGGAGTGCGCTTGAACGCCTTCTTGTGAGCTGCTCTCTCCCTCGCCCTCTCTGTCTTTAAGCCGAAACTATCTTGCGCTCTGCTCTAACCCATAGCTATCTCTGTCTCTCCAGTTTCGGCCACTTCCTGTTGCTGTCGCCACTCGTGTGCACGCGCCTTCCTCTTGTACTTCGCATTCGTATTCCAATTACAAAGCCACAAAATGTTGAAAAAGCTGTGCAATGATTGTGGTGTGGCTCTCGGCCCTCCTTCCAAGGGGTTCTCTTTAGAGTTCAGTCTGGTTCAGTGGTTGAAGGGAAGTCTCGGCGTCTTGCGGCGGGCACGCAAGATTTTTGCACAACTTTTTATCGTGTCTTAATGTAATTGTTGTGTTCTGTCTATGGCCTCCCACTGTCCCTGTCCCTGTCCCTGTTCCTTGCTCCGTTCTTTAGCTGTTGCCGCGTGTCTGTTCATTTGATTTGCTGGCACATTATTCTAGATCTACGTCTAAATGTAGCTTCAAATAGCTGTACAACATTTCACTTTTGGCATGGCTTGGCTAGGATTGCGCTGGATTTACACCCATATGTTGTGTCCGTTGGTCAATTTGTAAAATGAGGTTAAGTGTGGTGCTGATTGTTCGAACGGGGCTGACAATGGGATTGCCGGAGGGCAACACTTGGCAATTGAGGGTTGGATTTGGTGTGTGTCCAGCACTGGGGGAAAGACTGCCGACACAGGCAAAACTTTAATTAAATTGCAATTTAAACACTGAATTCTCAAGCAGCCGCCTGGGAAAGTAGGTTAAGATGTAGTCAAGCAGCGAGCAGTACAATGAAGGAAGAGCCTGAAATGAAGGCACAACGCAAGGGTTGCCCCGTGGCCCACCAATTTCCTCTGCTTTATTCCCCTGGCTCAGCATCTGCTGGCAGTTGGATTTCTCCTTTGATTTCTTGCCTGTCGTAAACTAAACTGTTACTTAATACTTGATCGATATTTCATTTTTATATGCATGACTATCACAACACTTAATCTTGGGCACTCCTATGGAACACGGCCAGGTCTGGCCAGTAAACTGACCTAAATACGACCACAAGATGGACATCAAATTGGCAGGGGGAGTGCGGCCGGCCCTCCTCCCTCTTGAATGGCTCATAAAAACTTTGCTAGCGCGGGCCATTTGGCTGGGACTCTGCGCTCTGCCTCACGCGGCGTATACGTAACTCAAATTTATGACAAATTGTTGCTGCTAAACGCTAAGAGGCCCTGCAACGTGTGCGGCGAAGCATCATAAGTCAACTGAGCGGCAAACTCAATGGAACTTCTATTCGGCCTTTGTGTTCTGAGTTTCAGCTTCGAGGCAACGATTTGAGCCTTCAATTTCTATCAATCGATTTGGAAAACCAAGCTCCAACTTTCGTTAAGCTAAACCCAAAGAAAATTCTGTCGTTTCCGTAACTGAGAACCGATTCCGGGACGGTCTCTGGCGCCTCTTAACTTTATGACTCATTTCGCACAGTTGGCAGCTGACAGTTTCCTGGGCGGGCAGTCGGTAGTTGGGTGTTGGATGTTGGATGTGTGTGGGTCGGACCTTACTCTCTACTCTCGAGACCTGACTTGCCTCGACTTTGCCTCTACTGGAAGGGCGCATATTGCCGCTGTCCAAAGACGGTTTGTCACCAGATACCCAGACGCCGCGAGCTGGGTGCCATCAGCCTGCTGCTCACTGATTTAATGACCGGCGGCAAGGTCGGTGCTCCACCGAGGTCAGTGGCTGCCATTCTGTCTGCTGCTGCTGCCACACGGCGGGGCTGGCTGCCACTGCTGAGCAGCTCCATGGGCAGGCTGGGCACAGCGAGGCCAGCGGTCGGACTGCTGGGTGCCATCTCAATGGAGTAGCTATCCTCGTGGCTGGGCGATTGCAAACTGCTGCGACTGCTGCCCGAGGAGCCGCTGCTGCTGCTGGCCAGCGAGGCGCTATAGAACTGCTGACAGCGCTCCAGTCGAGTCTGCTCCTGTTTCAGCCTGCTCTGCTCCTGTTGCAGCTCCCGAGCCTGAAGATTGTGCAGCGGCGAGCTGTAGGGCGCCTCACGCCTGGTGCTGTGATGCCACTTCTGCAGCCTGGCAGGATCTGCCTGATAGTTGAGGAAACTGTGCGCATCGTCGCTCTCATTGAACTGTCGCTGATGATGCGGTCGCAGCTGTCCCGCACGTCCACGCCGCTGCCACGGCAGCTCACAGCGATAGACGTGGGCCAGGCCCGCCAGCAGCACCACAACCAAGACGCAGGCCAGCAGCAGCATCACGCCAGGATGACTGCTCGATAGGGTGTGCTGTGCCTCCAGTCGCTGATCCATCAAGTGCTCCGGCTTGGACTCGCTCTTCAGCTCCACGTAGGCCTTCAGTTGGGCAAATGTGTTCAGCTCCTCCAGCGCTCCTTCCTTGGGCGTATTCACGCTGCTGTGCTGATGCTGCTGTGTCCTCGGTGTGGTTGGCATGGCTGGAGGCATCTTTGTGGCCGCATGCTTGGTGCTGTATGTCATCTTCTTGATGCTCAACGATGGCTTCTTCTTGGTCTTTGTTGGCGACTTTGTGTCGCCGTTTATTGCTTCCGGTTGCCGCTTATCAGCAGACGATGTCTGGCGGGTTTCCTGCTCTCTGTGCTGCCTGTGCTCCTTCTGCTGCTGCTGCTGCTGCTGCTGGCTATCTTCCAGCTGTCGTCGTTGTTGCGCATCCGCCACGGTGGCTGTGCCGGGCAGCAGCAACTGTTCGGCATCCACCAGCAGCACATCGCCCTTGTGCATGAGCAGCGGTGTGCCAATTAGATGGCGATCCTTAATATGCAGCTGCAACGTTGCATGTTTGTGTGGCGCCACAGTTGGCGCTGCTGCTGCTGCTTGACCGGACGTTGATGTTTCGCTTGTAGACAGTTCTGGTCTCTCTGTTGTTGTTGTTGTTGAGGTTGAGGTTGTTGTGGAGTATTTTAATAAAGTGTCAGTTGACTTAACGCTGCCTCCCGTTTGTGCTGGCATTTTGTCAGATTTTTGTGCTGTTAAAATTGTTTGTGGCACTTGAATTGGTGTTGTTGGAATACCCGTTGTTGGTGTACCCGTTGTTGTAGCTGCTGTTGTTGTTGTTGTTGCCTGTTCGCTAATGTTCGTTGGCACTGCAAGTCCCTTGGGTTTGGTTGCTGTTTGCGGTTGCAGCATTTGCTCGTTGGAATGCATTGTTGTTGTAGTTGTTGCTCCAGTTGTTGTTGTAATTACTGTTGTTGTTGCTCTCGTGGCTGTTGGCATTGCCAAATTGTTCATCGCTTGTGTTGCCTTTGTTTGAGCCAAAGTTGGCAGCCTCGGGTATGCTGTTGTTGTTGTTGCAGTTGGCTGGCTTGGGTTTGCTGTTGTTGTTGTTGTTGTTGCTGCAGTTGGCAGACTCTGTGATGTTGTCGTTGTTGTTGCAATTGGCATGCCAGGCATTTTTTGTTGCTGTTGCCGTTGCTGAATTTTCGCTAACAAAGTTGTTTCTGTTGGCCTCAAAGTTTTTGTGGTTAGCTGAGGAATGTTGTTACCGGCTGATTGCTGCGTTGTTGTTGCCGTATCTTGAGCCTTTGACTCTTGGCTGCTTTGTGGCAGAGTTCGCTGCGTGGCTGTTGCAGGTGCAGTGGCCTCCAGACTGCACTCGGGCGGCCTTTTGTCATCTTGCGTTGCTCCCGCTTCCATTCTCCGGCCACACTGACTGCCAAAGTTCTCATAAAAGTCATGAAACTGCAAAAATTGCTGCTTCAAATCGATTTGGCCCCTCGGCTGACCCACATCGACGGCGCGACAGGGGCTGGCCCACTCGGCAATGCTCAGCAGATCACTGCACCTAATGGGATTATCCTCCAGCAGCAAGTCCCTCAGCTGTGGCAATGTGTGCACTATCGATTGACTCACACTCTCCACCCCAGACGACTGCAGGTTCAGCGTCAGCAGCTTGGGCAGCGCCAGAGCGGGCAGGAAAATCAAACGATTGCCGGACACATCCAATGTCTGGAGATTGGTTAGCCCTGCAAACGACTGCGGCGGCAGCTCCATTATTTGATTGTGCTGCAAAAAGAGATGCTCCAGCGAGGTGGGCAGACTGCCAGGCACTCGCAACAAGAGATTATGATCGAGGAAGAGGAACTCCAACAGCTCCAAGCGGCCCAGGGCATCGTCCTCGACGTGAGCAATGCGGGAATGGGACAGATCGAGGTATTGGAGCAGCGGATAGCTGTCCATGTCGCCGCAGTTGATGGACTGCAAAGGGAGAGGAAAAAGTATTAGTTCATATGGGAATGAATTTTGACCTCTCTTCGGGGGGTCTCTTGACCTCCGTCTAGCCGTAAACTTTGACTGGCAAGGGTTCCCTCTAAAGACTTCTTCTTCCCGCCTTCATTTGATTAGTGCCCCAGACATGGAGAGCGGCAAGTGTGAGTTGAATGGCATTGTTTAAAAATTAACTTGAATCTGCCATTTTAATTACTTCAAAAGACTCGTCAGGCGCGCTCTTTTGGCCCTGCCTCGGGCCTAGTGCTCGTCTAGGTCTAGCGCCAAAGTAAACATAGACGCGACTCGTTAAATGAAACGAGTGGTGGCAACCAACCAACCAACCAGACAGCCGCCCGTCGTCTCTGTCCTCAGGCAGTGCAGCCACAGACATGAGAGGGAAAGGCAAAGGAGAAGATTGGGAGAAGAATGAGCAGCAGGGGAGCACGGCACGGGCTCGGGCACCTAAACGCCATAATTTGCCATGAAAAGGCTGCGTGTTGACTGCCGATAAAAGCGTCGAGCCAAAGCAGTGGCGAAAGTGCGGCAGAAGCTTCGGCAAGAGCAGCAAAGCAGCGCGCCAAAGCAGAGGCAGAAGCAATGGGCCAAAGCAGCAAAGCAGCGGCAGAAGCTTCGGCAAGAGCAGCAAATCAGCGGCAGAAGCGTCGAGCCAAAGCAGCGGCGAAAGCAGTGGCAGAAGCGCGCCAAAGCAGAGGCAGAAGCAGTGGGCCAAAGCAGCAACGCAGCGGCAGAAGCGGGGCGCCAAAGCAGCGGTAAAAGCAGCAGCAGAAGCAGCGGCAAAAGCTTTGGCAGGCAGGCGGAGCGAATTAAAATGGCTAGGTAACAAAGAAGGCGAACCAGGAGGGGACAAGGAGGAGGAGTAGCAGCAGCAGAGACAGAGCCACTCCAGTAGCTGTAGATAGTTGGGCTGTTGCTCCGTTTTGGTGTCAGGCGTCCCAGCTGCACGTTAGCTTGTCTGCTGGCTTAAACGTGATTATGCTTATGCCAATTATCCTTATTTTATTAATGCCTAGCGTCGGTGCCTGTGCCTCGGGCTGTGTCTGTGCCTGTGCCTTTTGTCTCTCTGGCCCTAAACAGCTTACGAGGCGGCATTTTTGCACCTTTTACGGCTTCTGGCATAATCGACATGGACAAAAGGCGAACGGCGAACGGCGAACGGCAACCAATTTATGCGCCGCATTTGCTTGTCTACACTTGAAGCCGTTTAACCATAATACCTGAACAAAGGGTGGGGCGAGTGTCCGGAATGAGCCACAGTCCCAGCCGCGGCCCGAGTCCCTGCCTCTGCCCCAGTCCTGGCGGCGCTTTATGCTCATAATGCAATCGGGATTGTTGTCTATTTTTGTTTGCCCTCTAAATCTGTTTTGCTGTTGCTGCTTTTTCTTGTGCCGCCCTAATCTGCAGCTCGTGTTGCTGCTTATGCCAATCAAGACAAAACAGTGTCTACTTTAGGCCTTCCTTTTGGCCCAGCTCCCAGTCTTTTTTGTTCTTTCTTTTTGCTGCCTTTGGGGCGAATTACTTATTAAGACTTGATGGCTGCCCGCCTAGCCATTATTTTCTCTTTTGTTTGTTGAAAAGTGAGAAGTGCACTTTGCTATTTCCATTGTGTGTGGCCACATTGTGTTTTAATTACGTTCTTAACTGGACCTGAGTGGCGTGTCCTCTCGGCCCAGACTAACAGTTGAACAATTCTGCTTGCATTTGCACTCGAGGCGCGGCACTTGTGGCTAAATATTTTCTTGGACTCGCACTTGAGTCAGTCTTCCGCAAACCACCGTACTGGCTGCAGTTTAACACAATTTATGGAACACCATCTTATATGAGCAATTGCTGGGAACTTTCTGAGCAGAAAAGCTAGTCAAAAGTTTGCTGCAGAAAATCGTATCCATAAAATGTTGCCTGAAAGTTGAGTTGGTAAAAGTTTTTGTAGGTTTTTAAGGCATTTATCAGGCGGATATCTTACAGGGGTACGATCATAAGTCTCTTGCTTGAACTACGATAAATATCTACAACTTATAGGTGATGTTCTGGTACTTATGAAGTGTTTAGAGCGGACATAAATAGCTGCTAATTGATTGCCATTTTGGGTTCAAGTTCCATACGATATTCTTTAGTCTCTAGCTTGGCTAGAAATTGTCTCTAAACTTTTGCTAATTTGATATTGATTGCTGCGTATATTTTTTATAGCAAAATTCACAGAATCAATAAAATAAATTTCCGGCTTTTCCTCCATAATAATTCTTGATGCTAAAATGAACAGAAAATAAAATTAACCTTCCACCGCTGTAGCCCTGACGCTCTCTTTGCTTTCTTTTTCCTGTTCTGTGCCGCTCTCCTCCCATTCTGTTCCCTCTGCCCCACAGAAGGCGGAAGCAAAAGAGAGCCCAACAAAATGGCGCGGGGGCACATTTAAAAATAACAAAGTGTAAATCATACGCGTGGCAAGATTGCCTTGCGGTTGCTTCGGTTGCCAAGGATGTGGGGCTGAGGCTGGTGCCTGGGTATTGGGGGGGATAACTGAGGCTGGGGGAAAGCGCACTCAAGCACGCAGTGGAGCCCGGGCCACATAACAGATGCTAATTAATGGCAGCAGTACACCCCAAGAGCAGCAGGAAGGAAGGAGCCTGCAGATGCAGAGTCAGAGTCAGAGTCAGGGATAGAGTCAGGGACAGGGACAGGGGCAGAAACAGAGCCAGAGCCAGAGCCAGACCCACAGCTGGCAAGTGTCTGCTTGGAATGTGCCGTTAATTGTCGGCAAAAGCGTCAAATTGCGGTTCATTGGAGCTCCGCACTGGCGCTAGCACGGCTCATGGAGTCAACAATTTATCGATTAGTAGAATGATTTGGGATTGGAAATGACTTTGAACCTACCTTGAGCCAGTTGTCGGATAACTTCAATGTGCGCACCGACTGTGCGAGAGCGGCCGGCACCTGACACAGTCCCGTGCCGCTGGCATCCAGCTCCTTCAGACTCCAGGAGGCTACAAATTCCTGCATGGCAGCTCCCACCTGCGGGTTGTGGGCGATCGAGAGGCTCACCAAGTCAGGTATGCCCTGCAGCGCCCGAATGGCGGATCCACTCAGACGATTGTGGGACAGATCCAAGTGGTGTAGGTTGGGCAGTGCCAGAAACGTTTCGTAGTCAATGTCCGAGATGTTGTTGTGGCTGAGGAGGAGCGTCTGCAGCTCCAGCAGATTGTAGAACGTCTCACGGGACACGTTGCCCAGAAGATTGTGCGCGAGGTTGAGGTGCCGCAGCTGCGGCAGTCGCTGCGCAAAGAAGTTGGACGACAGCCGACTGAACCGATTGCAGGACAAATCGAGTGTCACCAGCGGCAGCGAGGGACTGGTGTCGGCCAGGCTCAGGGGTATGCCGCTCAGCGAATTGTTGCTCACATCCAGCTGCCGCAGCTGCTGAAAGTGATCGATGCTGAGTCGACTCAGCCGATTGTTGCTCAAATCCATGGACGTGATCACCTGCAGGTCGCCCTGCCACTGCCCGCTGCTGCTGTTGTACTGCCGCAGGCCGCGATTGGTTAGATTCAGTCGGCTGGCGGGTGCATTAAGCTCACGCTTTTGGCGCGTTTGACTGAAACGCTGCTGCTGGTAGCGCTGCTCCCCCCGGTAGCTCGCTGGCTCCCCCCTGAAGCTCGCTGGTTCATTCTCATTGCGCAGTATGCGGTGGATGCTTTGGTAGCTAAGGCCGCGGTGCTGCTGCGACAATTGCTGCTCCTCCCGATCGGCAGCAGCGCGGGTGGAGACTTCGGCAGCAGCGCGAACCGGGATCTCGGCAGCCGCGCGAGTGGAGACTTCGGCAGCAGCGCGAGTCGGGATCTCGGCTGCAGCGCGAGTCGGGATCTCGGCAGCAGCGCGAACCGAGATCTCGGCTGCAGAGCGGGTGGAGACTTCGATTCGAGTGGAGACCTCACGTTGGGCGCACGCCAACCTTGTTAGGAGCAGTGACCACGCCAGCAGCAGGCCCACATCACGCAGGGGTGCCACGATTTTCACCATTTTCTCTTGCTCCCTTTTGCCCGTTATCCGCTTTTACGGTAGACTCTCCTTCCCTCCTGTTGGGGGTCAAAATGTCCTTTAATTTCACTTGGAATTTATGCGCTGTACGTGCAAACGTTTAAACGTTCAATTTTGAATATGGCTGGCTGGGTCATTCATTTCCTTATTCATTCATTCACTTTTGCTGTGAGAGGGCGGGCGTCACGTGCGCGCCTTTTGGCCGGGCATGTGACAAGTGTCAACAGCAGGTGCTGGGGTCGCAGCTGAAGCCAAAGCCTGAATCTGAATCTGTGTCTGAACCTACGCCTGAGGGCACTGCCAATGGCAATGGCTGCGTTTCCCTTTCACCGGCCATTGCTCAAATCTTCTTGTTAAAATGTCATTGCCCGATGGAAGGGGCGTGCGTCACGTCGCGGGTTGAAATGTTTTTAATTTTTAATTAAATCAACTTGATCATTCTATTTTGGTCGCGGGCTCGTTTGTTATTTGCTGCTGCTGCTTGCTGCTTTCAATTTTTCAGCAGTTCTGCAATTGTTTTACAATTTTAATTGCTCTCTTTTGTCGTTTTCCACCGCGGGCTCCGCTCTGCCCTCTCTACATTCCGCTCCTCTCCTGCTTTGTTTTCCCTCTGTTTCGTTTAAGTTTTCCTTGGCCAGCTAATTGCTGTTGAACAAAACGCAACTCAACTCGAGCAAATGTCAATTAAAAAGCGAACAGCATTGCTCCTCTTCTTCTGCTGATGCTGTTGTCCTGGTTGTTATCCTGCTGGCCCTTTGTTCTTCCTGTTATTGTTGTTGTTATGGCCAACTGTTGTCACATTACAGTGGAAAGTGCTCCCCTGTCGTTGCGTGTATAAAATCTGTAATAAAACGTGAAAAAATTGCTTGTAATTACGCGTTTGCTTTTTGTTGTTGTGTGAATACAAAATGTGCCAAAGGTAAAATTTGCTTTTAATTCGCTCTCCCAGCTCGCTCGCCATTTATCTGTGTGGGTGCATCTGTGTGTTCTCTGTGGGTGTGGGTGTGTTCTTATTTTTGTATCCCTTCTTAATTTCTACTTTGGCTTTACGACTTCAAAGCGCTTTGGCTGTTGGCTTTAGTGTTTTTTTTTATGTTGATTGCAGCTAATGAAATTATAATTTCAACAGCAGCTCAGCCAACGAGCAAACGAGCCAAGAGCCATGATTTTGGGTCCCGGCCTAAGCGGCGAACGGGTTGTCCCGCCTGTCAGCCGCACGCCATAAACCCCCTCCGGCACCCAAGCATATGTGTGTGTGTGTCCGTCTGCCATAAATCATTTAACTGGGTCATTTCATTTCCGGCGTAGACAAGCGACACGGCCAACAGCCCAGTGTGTGTGTGTGTGTGTGTGTGCAACCTAACTGTCAACCGACAACCCACAATCCACAATCCACAGCATCTGGTATCCCAAAACGACGCAAATTTGATTTACTCATTGCCGGAGGGGGGCCTAATGATGCTCGAATGGTAGGCTCTCCGCTCTGCTCACCACTGCGTTGCTATCTGCTCCCCATGCTCTACTCTCCACCACTCTGCTTTGCTTTGCTCTCCGCTCCTCTGCTCAACTCTCCACTACTCTGCTCTACTCTCCACTGCTCTGCTTTGACCTGCTCTGTCCTCTGTCCTCTGTCCCATCCCCTTCTGCCATGCGTTTTTTTTCCAATCCTCGTAAATTAATTTGTCAATGTCTACTTAAAGTCGAACATGGCATTTTGATAACCCCAAAAGTCTATTTGCACTGCATTGATGGATGAATTTCGTAGGGTGATCACTTTCAGCAGGGGTTAACAGTGTGTCAGTGCGTGAGAGTCCCATTTAAGAGGTGTCAATTACGCAATAAAACACTTAATAGACTCATCTCAATAAACCATAAAGCCACAGCTGCAACTTGTTCAATTTAATAAGCATTTTCTTAGGCATCAGCTTGTGTCGCACTTTATTTGCTTGATTACTTTTAATTGACTTTATTTATTAAAGATTTTCCACAATGAGCTTCGCCACTGATTGCCATTTCAGCTACTAAATAACTAAGCGAACAAGTCTCAATATTTGTCTAAGCAAATGCATAAATTGTAGTATTTTTTGGCTACTTTGAACGTGTCCAAAAGTCTGCTAAAAAAGGCTTCCGGTTACGTTGCTTAATGGACAGACACCTTGACAGTTTTGACACGTGAATGCAGCTGGTACCCTGGATCAAGTTATCCAAAACTAGAGTTGGTTGTTGCTTTTGGCATGGTTTAAATTGAATTAAAATCTGCTTGAAACTGTTCTGAAATCCTTAAAGAAAATGTCTTGCCAGTCATATCTATTAGCTGTTTTATTTGTAAATTGTTGGCTTTTATGGCAAACAAATATAAGCCAAAAACACACCAACACACACACACACACACACACACACATACAAGAGTTTTTATGTAAGTGTGTAAAGCCCTGACTGGGTTTTACGTTTAAATTTATTGACAAATATCATCAAGAAGCTGCCTGGCATCTCATTTCATTTCTGCTGCCGTTTGCTTACATAACAGAACGGAGTAGCAGTAAAATTTGGGCCATAAGTTTGGCGACATTCAGTCAACGCACCCGGCCCCCCACCAACCCCTCCCTCGAGAGACAAACAGACAGGCAGGCAGATGTACGCAAGTCAATTGACATGAAAGTCGATTCCAAAAACCAACAACAAATGAGGGGGAAATATCAGCAGCAACAACAGGGGTAGGGCGAGGGTACATTCTCGGGGTGGGGTGTGTGTGGTGCTGTCTATTTGCTCGGTGAGGATTGACGCAGCCCACTGTACCGCTGAGGGGGGCTCCCTTTTTATATCTCTGAGAGGTTTCTGCGCCGTCGCTTGTCAGTTTATTTTATGCCAGCTTGAAAATAATTTACAAATTGCTGTGCCATATTTTTCCTGCTTGCCCTCCGATGCGACATTAGCGAGGGTTGCTCAAAGGCAGCTTTGCTGCTTAGTTCACTTATTGCTTCATTGCATATTTTTGTTAGTTAATCAAATGCCCAGGACAAAGCAAATAACTTGCGCAGTGCACAGAACTTGAGGATGCAAATGCCAGAAGGAGCAGACAGCAGCACAAAGGCCAAAAGCTGCGCATAGAGAAAAAATTACGAGAGGAAAGCGTGCTGCTTAAATCACATCCAAGGCGCACTCTGGGTGAGAGCTGAAATTGGATTTCACCCAACAGCCTCCCAGATGCCATACACACATACGTCAGTGATTTATTCTTAGATGCCCAGAACCCGCAGCCCAATCCCAAACCCAAACCCAAACCCAAACCCAAACTCTAACCCCACCCACACTCCGGCATGGCTTTATCAGCAAATGCAAATGCAGTTGACAGCAAGGACAGCCATATGGCCACCCGTGCTCCTCCATTGCATTTCATTGAGTGCGCTCAAGCCAGTGGCCATGCCCCCTGCCCCCTGCCCCTGCCCCTGCCCCTGCCCGTATGCCCTTGCTTGAGACTCTGCTTTTTGCTTCAGTGGCGCGCTCAATGGTGCAACAAAATACACACAAAATTGTATCTATTCCCCGTCTTCAGCATTTTTACCAGCACAGCACAGCACAGTCTTCCCTTGTGTGTTTGTGTGTGTCCCTGCTTTATTTGCATGGAAATGTTATTGCTGTTGGCTGCCTGCTTGGTTTGCTCCTTCTAAGCGCTGCATGCCGGGCATGTTTATTGTTTAAGTGCGCTACCAAAGTTCTCATATGCATTCCCAGCTCCATTCTCCATTCTTCCCCTCTCCCTGTGCTGGCTTTTTAATAAACTTCCCGCTTTGCCGTGGACTTCATAGAGCTCGCTCGATCGCCCGCTCGCCAAATCCTTCTGCTGCATCTGTGTCAATGTCGGGCACGTCTGGCCGCACGTGCCGCTACGTGGCATGTGCATGTGGCTCTCGGATCTTTAAGCAGAATGTCCCACCAAGCACTTGGCTAACAATTTGCTGCGACACTTTTTCTGTGCGATTCACAGACATCGATTTGCCGTTTTTATTTGCTGCGCATAAAAAAGTTTTCAAATTAAAGTTTATTCTCAGGCTTTTCGACTGTCAGCTGGCACAGCCTGAACGAGCTGGCAATTTGGCGGCTCTAAGATATTGACAGACAGCCGCGCAAAGTGGCTGCTTGGTGGGGCACTGAACAAGCATATCGATAGCGCAAGGCAAGTGTTGGCCCCGTTGCTGGGAGATGGTGTTTGGAAAGTGCTCCCAAAATTGGTTTCCCACAAAAGTTTCTCAGTGGCTGCTGTCTCGGTGCAGGTTCAGGTGGCAGGAAGATTCTTAAAGGTAACTTATGGCAGTTCATTGTGGGGCGCTATGAGTAATGAGCAACAAAAATGTGCCCTTTGCTTTATGTACTGGCATTTGCCTGAATAGTTTCACAACAATTTCCACTCATATCTTTTGTTGCTGGCACATCCTTGAGGCATTGTTCTTGTGAAGATTTGTCAGCGGGTGTCGCAGCGTCGCAGCGTCGCACACACATGTCATTGACTTTCGCATTCGCATTGTGCCATCCTGTTGTGCTCTCTCTCTATTAATGCCCTGCGGGAAAAAGGAAACCCACCCAAAGGAGCAGCCTCCCCACTAACCAAAAACACATAAGTAAAATCTGTAATAAACTTGTTGTTGTTCTTGTCCGTGGTTGTGCCTCTGCCTCTGCCTCTGCCTCTGAGTGTTTTGTGTGCGGCTTTTATTGTTTTATTTGTATGCGTGTGCCCACCCTCGTTTTTTTTTGTAGTTTTTCCTTCTGCTTTTATTTGTTAAATTGTGTTGTGAAAAATCGCTGAAGGCCCTGGGCTTTGGTCTGGGCCCCCTTGTGTGTGTTTGTTTGGCTGCTTTTGCCTTCTTCCGCTTCTTCCTATTTTATGTGTATTCCATTTTGTGCCTTTGTGCCTGCGTCCACGTCTTGGGCTTTATTTTGGTAGCCCAATTTGGCTTGGCGGGACCTTGAGTGCGCTGAATGGGCCACAAAACAATTTTTTAAATAAAAAATAAGGCAGCAGTCAGACAATACTCTAAGGCCGCCTGGCACTCATTTGTATGATGTGTTATCTCATATTTTTGAAACCCTTTTTGCTGTCGTGGCTTAGTTTTGGTTTGGGTTTTCGTGTGGCGAAGCTTTCACTGAAATTGGAAAACTTTTTCAATAACTGTGCATAAATGCTGGAGCACTCATTTGCTCCCCTTGTTACTTATTGCTAATATTATATTTGCTCAAGTTACAGCATCCCCTTGGAGCCGGGACGAATTGTGTAGCTGACAGCCACGACTCTCCCTCTGTCTGTCTGTGGGCCACTCATATTTCCTTCGAGTGACACAATGATTTTCTAATAATTTGCCAAATTGCCTTTGGTTGACCATTAAATCTGAGATACGTGTCTCACTGGCAACGCCTCTGAAAGCTGATAGCCGGATTACAGTGGCTGCCACACACATGCCACAGACATTTTTCTCGGCTCGGACATCACTTGAGACTGTGTTCTGGCCCCGTACGTTGCTGCTTGCTGGTGTCATTAAGTGTCTTCTCAGTTGTTCTCTGTTTGGGCAGACACTTAAAGCCATGTCCCTTAAAGTTCCTTGGCTCGTTGCTGAAACTAAATCTGTGGCTAGTGCAGAATCAATAATTGGGGCGCTGCTTTGAAGTGGTTTCACATTTCCCATTGCAAGTGCACAGAAAGGGACAACAAAATCAACAAATGACTTGGCTGGCAAATGAATCTCTTCCATACCATTGAAGTGACATCGTGTAGTATTTTTTCGGACCCTTTTTGCTGGTAATCTAAGCTCCCAGTTCTGCCTTCAAATGACTCAAATGTTTGCCCCTCTG